TCATCAACTCAGCAATCTGGAACTCCAAAAGAATCCTCCAAAAAGACTGATTCTGTTGTCAAAACCACCAAACAAACCAAAACAGACTATGCTCTCCCAATTAGTACGCTTTTAGCTATCCAACAAGGAAGCTTGAGTAGCCTACCAAATAAATCTTGGGCAGACATTGCCTCTGAAGAAGATATGGAATTAGATTTAGCAAGCCTAAACACTATACTCCAGACCTTCAACCAAACCCAAAAAACAATAACCAATAAAACAGAAGGGACCCTTGACCTTCAAAAGGGAAAACAAAAAAACTTCAAACCCAAGCCATTATGTAGCCAAAGAAAAATTCTCCTCAGTCATACAAATGGAACCTGAATTTTGGGACAAAAACCCATACAAGGCAATTACTAAAGTCTTCCCACCAGGATTTCATTTCAGACCATATCAGGCTAATAAAACCAGACAGTTTTATGAGTTTATCTTAGTGGATTCAGATTCTGTTTCCATTAAGCATTATAAGGACCACAAGGATCCGTCAGTTACAACCCATTCAACAATACAAATCCTGAAAGTCTTAACTCCAAAGGCTTTTGGAAAAAATTTAAATTCTTATAAAAAGTTTTTCCAACCATTTGATCCAGTAGGATATAATTATTGGGACTACATTGACGCATGGACAAGAACTTTCTGGTTCCAAAATAAACTTAACCGACATTCTTGGTTAATATATTTTAAAAAGAATCAGAATTATAACTTTCCAAATTGGTTCCTCCAATGGTGGGATTATTTTGGACCAATAGAAGAAATCCTTCCCACTCCTGTCAAAGAAGGATACAAAATTTACAAAGGCAGATATCTGCGAGAATCAAGAATTCCAGCAGATCTTAAATACTTCTCTGATTTTGCCCTGGCATGGGTATTCTCATGGCAATACAGATATGGCAAGACAGAAAATGAAGACACTCTCCCATTGTTACACAGGTATTCCTTCGTAAAATGGTGGAATCAATTCAATGCGGAACATGCCGGACCAGAAGGAGTTGCTGAATATTTTGGGAAAAATCCCAAATTATTAAATCTTGCTGACCCAGCAACATTCCAATTCCTTAATCAGAAATCCAAAATTGCAGCATTCTTATCAGGATGCGATACCAAAGAGAAAATGAAGAAAAATCTTCAAGATGTTCTCCTGTTATTGCAAAACCAAGAAGAAGGAGAATCTTCTAACCAAAATGCCAATATTGAAGAAAATCAAAATGAAGATGATTGTTTCGGTATTGACATTCAGGATCTTTAGAAACCGGTACTATAGTTAATAGTTCCAGTCACCAACCGGAACTGTAGAAATAGTACTTTAAGATTTTCTATATAAGGAGGCCTCGACTATATTGTGAGGTACCCTTTCATTTTAGCAAGATAAGAGAGATTTAAGAGAGAGAAGCTCTGAGAGAAAAACTTCTTGTAAGTCTTCTTCTTCTTTGAGATCTTTCAATAAAATTTGCTGTTTCAAATTATTTTCCTCTCTTCTCCCTCTTAGCCGGTCCTGTTCGGACTACCGTCGCTCCGGCTTTCTTCTCTTCTCCCTTCACTAGATCTGTGTTGGTTATACCATCGTTCTAGTTTCTTTATGAGCTAACTGTTTTACATACTGCACTTTTAATTTCTGCACATCATTTAGTAGTCCTGCTACTGCCTACTTTCCTTTCAGTCTTTTAATCTACATATTTTTGTTTCCTTGATCCACTCTTGATAATCTGGTATCAGAGCCTGATGGGGAAGTAGGAATATAACTGTTAATTGTCTGTAACTATGTTCTTCTGGATTTGGACTTTAAATTCCTTTATGAAATTTCTGTAACCATGGTTTATAGGCTGGACAGCTGACAGGCCCTTCGGGTGAGATCAGTAATGATCGTCCCTGTCTGTAAGGCTAATTTGACGATGCTGTATTCAAAAGAAACAAAAGAACATAAGAAGCTGGTGGCTATAGTAAAAGAATTTTCAGAATTTTGTAAACAAATTAAAAAAAAAAAAAAAAAAAAGTCCAAAAATAACCAGATCCAGTTGAATAAGTTATAAATAATTAACAGATGTATTGTTACGGAACCAAATGAGGGTGATGAGCCAGATGTTTTTATATCATGTCTAGACTCTTACGCTCTTTTTCTCGCATTTCCTTTCGTTCTGGCTCCAGTTCCTCCTCCTCCTCTCCAACTAAAACCAATCTCTTTAATGACCAGGAGAATCATTCTCCTGAAATTACACCCAAACACAACCTCTTCGACGAAGAAGTTCGTTTTGAAGAGATCAACCAAAGTATGGATGACTGGACCATCCCAGTCATTCCTCAGGATACTTTATATGTTCCTGAAGACCAACCTAAGAAAAACAGTTCTGATTATATTATCAAGACTGTTGAAAATAATATCCCTTTAGGGAAAGGTATAGGGGAAGAATTTCATCTCCTGTCTAAATCCTCCCTCAATGACCATAAAAGAAAGTACAAATATCTTCACATAGGATGTGTTCAGGTAGCAATTAAACCTTTGATAGACATAGGCATAGATGCTGCTGTCTTAATTTGTCTCAGAGACATTCGTCATAATAAATTTGATGATTCTCTCATAGGAACAGTTGAAACCAGTCTCGGTCAAGGTCCGATTTATTTTAACTGTTTTCCCAACAAAACTGTGAGTCTTATGGATGAACACATCCTAGACTCCTTATTTCTTAATATTTGCTTTCATGGGTTAGACATGAAAGAGGGATCTATTCCCGCCGCATTAATCTATAGGATTCAGTATAAGGTCATGAATTCTTGTGCCTCTAGAGTCCTTCTCAAGCCTCAAAAGGGAGAAACTACTTTGTTTATCACTGATATGACAAAGGCTAATGTTTCTCTACCTAGAATTATTAAATGGGATGAGGTTACTCTCCCAGAAAAATGGGTGATGGATAAAGCCTCACCTAGTGTTCCTCGTCCTGCTCCTCAAATACAGGACATCTCACAGGACAATTCTGGAAAGGTTGAAATAACCTTTGATAGGAGAAACTCTTTCTCCTCTAGGATCGATGCTTATAGTAATCGATCTGATTTTGTCTCTGCTAGGAGATCTTTTTCTTCTAGATCTTATGTTAGACCTGATATTCCTAGGTCTGTTAATCATGACCCCTCTCTAAATCTTCAAGGTTTAGACACTTCTTCTAGGATTCCTAGAAATGTTTATCAGACTTCTGAAAAAGAAGACGAAAATCAGAGTATCCAATCTCCAACTTACTCTTCCCTTAATGAGTCTTATGATGTTATCTCATAAATTCATTATAGATAAAGAAACCCTTAGGAAAGATTTTTACTCTGAGGAATGGAAACCTCAAACAGAGTGGTTCTTTCAAAATTATAGGGGAAAAGACAGGTCTGCTATCCAAGAGAAATTCTATCAATTTCTCGAAAAAGTCAAACAAAATATTCCATTCTTTGATTGGTATCATGCTTATACCATTCGAAATAATATTAATTATCCCTGGCAAGAAGATGTTATTAGTACCTCCTCTGCTAATGTTATAACTTGGCAAATCAAAGATGGACAAATAGTCCAAAGTGATTTACCGCCCACATCTCAATACCAATTGCCTAATTTGAAAGACAAAGGCGGTAACCCTGTTACTGCCACTCCTTTCAAGTCTAAGAGTGCTGATGAGTCTATCACTCCTCATGACATCCAAGGCCAGTCCTAAGAAACAAGGGGATAATGTCATCCCCACCAATATTCCCAAAAAACCCAGAACAGGCGTAACCTGTTACAATTGTGGTAAACCTGGCCATATTAGTAAGTATTGCAGGCTAAAGAAAAAGATTAGTAGCCTCAATCTAGAGCCTGGATTTTCTTTTGAAGTGAAAAATTACCTAATTGTTTTTCAATATTAGCAAAAGAAACTTCTTCTTTTAAAAAGTTAATCTGATTAACTTTGTTTTGAATAAAATTAATATTTTTTGTAAAGGGCTTATTAGAAAATTTGAAGGTTATTTGTTTCCCTAAATGTCGAGTGGATATACCATCTTTCGAAATTTGCAAAGGGAAAAGAGCTTTTATGAAAGGTGTTCCCAAAATCACTTCATTTTTTAAATTTTTAACAAGAAGAAAGTTTGTTTTAATCTTAAGTTCTTGATTTTCAATTACAGCTTTAGAGAGCTTATAATTAATTTTCAGTTTTGAACCACTAGCAGTGCTGAGTTTTTCAGAGGTTTTTTCAAAATATTTTGTAGGAATTAAACCTTCTAAAATACAATTTGAATCAGCACCTGTATCAAAAAGGGCCAAAGTGTCAAGAACAAAATCATCAATAACGATTCTGATATTAATGTAAAATTTTTGTATTTTGACCTTGTTGATTAAACACATAAAAGTTTCTTCTGGATTACCAGAGTCAACCTTTACAGAATCATTATCCTCAGGAAGTTCTACTTTCTCAATGTCAGAATCATCATCTAACTGAGAAAGAATAACTTGGTGAATTTGTTGTTGATCTTTAATTTCTCTGATTTCTTTCTTGAGATTATTTATCTCAATCTGGAGATCTTGAATATAAATTATTTCAGATGATATAAAATATTTTCTTAATTTATAAGATGTTATAAAAGTTATGAATAAAATGAGTTTTAATTATTTTTTAAAAATTTATAATTAAACTGGTGTTTTTAAAACGTTGTCAAAGAATTAAAGTTATTTTTTCTATTAAAAAGTACAATAATGCCCTTACTTTGTAATTTAAAATGTATCTAAATATAACTTTTAATAAGAAATTATTATTTTAATTTTTTTTAATAATATTTTAACAAACATCTTTAAAGCACCAATTTTTTATTTTAAAATAAATTTTGTAATATACTCTGATATGAACCCGTTAGATTGGAATGCTTCGGGTTTCCCACTTCCATGACCGACCCTTTTACAAAATTAACCGAGCGCAGCAGTTAAAATTTCAAGTGTGCTTGCACACTTCACTGACGAAGCAAACGCCTATTTTGGGTTTCAATTCATTCTCCATTCGTCGCGCGCGAAAAACCCTAAACCCTTTCTACGTTGTTCTGAGGAAGAAGCAGCGATGAATAGGGCGAGAACTGAAGGCATAACCTTCACGAAGGAACCATACATCGAGGATACAGGACCACGTAGAATGTTAGCATTTATCTGTGCTTGCTTCCTTATCATCATACAGTTATCCGGGATTCACTTAAGGATAGTTACTTTGTTGTTCATTTATTGCAGACAGAATATGAAGTTCTGCACGTTATCAGAGTCGGAAATCGGCAAAATTGGTGAAGTTCAAGTGTGGAAGGGTGCTTACTATGATTCGTTTAAAAAGCCTATTCAAGGAGGCTTATTGGATCCCCGCATGGTACTCTCTATATTCTTAGTACTACGTTTGTTTAATTCTGATTATGTTTGGGTTTAATGTTGGGTAGCTTGTTTCAGTTTTCGGTTTCATGCTTTGCTACTTGTGCAGTGCTGCTTCAAGAATTTCCTGTTTTGTTGCATTTGTGATTTTCATGTGATCATTATGATATATTTATTGTAATGCGGGATGTAAAATTAACGTTGTGTGTTATTGGGTTTGGGTTGAATTCGGAGTTGTTTAGAATTTTGAATTGCGGTGCATTTGGTCTTGTTTAGTTGCCCCTGCATAATACTTTGTTTGCTAAGGAAGAGAGGCACACGTGACATGTATGCACTTTTTCTTACACTATAAACAAAAACATTACCAGAAAAAGAATTACACTTGACATGTTTGAATTCAGTATTCTGCACCTGAAATTTATGGAAAAATTGCAAGAGTACACGTGCAATAGGTCGTAAATGCTGGTATGAGTTTGGAATAGTGTCTTATTTGAGATTCAGTTTCGGGTTTGATGCATATCTATTTTTTTTTTTTTCATCTGTTTTCTTTTTGTAATAATTTTCCTCAAAATTTGATTAATGATCAACAAAAGATATATTTTATAGCGTTGCAAGTTTAAGAATAAGAAATCTTGCCATTAAGGCTTAAAGGTGTAATCAGTTTTCTTTTCTTAAGAAGTCAGGTTGATGTAATACTTGGTTGGAAGATATTACTTGTTTGGACTTTCAATCTGTTTGATCATTTCTTTTTCTTTCCTATGCCTTTACTCTTTCTCTGTGCATAATGCTAAAAAAGCATTCTTTTTGTGTAATCTCAGGGCCCTGCTAATAAGAGTCTTTTCTGTGCGACATGCCATGGGAACTTTCAGGACTGTCCAGGGCACTATGGATACTTAAACCTTGCCCTTCCTGTTTTCAATGTTGGATACTTAAGTAACATTGTGGAAATACTGAAGTGCATTTGTAAGGTATATGAATCTTCATGTGTTTCTCATCTTCTTTCTCTCTGGAATTTGGTTTTTCCTTTATTGATCAATTATCATCAACAAAATGTTCTCTGTTTTATTTCATTTCAGTTAACTTGACCTATAACTACTTATATAAAATGTTAAGCTTTAGGGGATGGGTTTTTGAATTGATGTTAACTTTCCTGCTAAAAGAACTCAAACTATAAGCATTGTCAGGCCTTTTGTTTGATGGTCACTTGTTTAGTGTTAAGTGGATTTCTCGCTTCCCAAGGTTCAAGATTTGAGCCTCCTTTGCAACAAGAAAAGAACTCAAACTTAAGTTATCCATTTTCTTTAAAAATGCAAAATTTTCTCTTTTGCTTGCAATCTTAGCTTTATTTAGTTCAGGGTTTTATGGTCTTTTACTTTCATCAACTTATAAAAAGAGTGACCAGACATATCAGCTGATCTGTCTAAAAAATGCATTGTTCCTAAACATATACAGAGGTTTGACAAAACAGCATAATAATGCCTTCAAAATTTATGTTAAAATGCATAAAAGTCCATGTTCAAGCTTGTTTGTCATACTTATTAGTTATTACTAATGGACGTCCCTTTTCTTTTCTGCTACTGTTATCTAACTTGAAAATTTTTAAACTTTAGCATGCTTTTCAAGTTGTAGTGTTAATTATGTGTTTTTTAGCTTTCTGCTTGAATTCTATGTCAATGCTCAGTGTTTTTTCCCCCAGGGCTGTGCTCGTATTCTCCTTGATGAAGATACCCGTAAAAAATATTTGACAGAGATGAGAAGGCCCAAAAAAGCTGACGCAGATAAGATTGATTTTGTGAAAGTTCATGTAATGAAGGATTGTAGCAAAGTTGTGAATTGCCCAAGATGCGGATATATCAACGGTTTGCTTATCATGCTTTATTTAAACAACTTTATTATTATTATTTTTAAAGGCTGTGTCTGGTGACTTGATTTCTACATTTGATAATAAAATATTTGCTACCACAATTTTGGTCCTGATTCCATCTGTAAGGTTATCATGGATTCAACCTTAGCTGCTGATTTATTCTTGGCTATGAATAAGCTTGTAATTTTGATTCTGTCATTAATCCCTTGATACATAGTTGGCAGCTAGAAGAATTAGGAGGCATAAGGTGCAACAACCTGTGTTAAACCTTCTTTTAATCGCCATTTGTATTGATATTTGATATTGCAGTTTCTTTTTGGTGCTTTGTTGATCCTTTATTATGTGTTAATATGGATTCTGAATGTACTTATGTTTAGTTTGTATGAGCTATTCCTTACCATTATAAGAGTGAGGAGTAAATGGTCTTGCAAAATGCATGTTAAGATATGCACTTTTATATCTCTAAGAGGGCAGTTGTGGTTACTATTGTGATACAGGTATAGTAAAGAAGGTTCCGTCTTCGCTAAGCATCATGCATGATTGCTCAAAATGTAAAAATGTTATTTCCGAGGAGCTTGAATCTGCACTCTCTCGTATAAAAGACTCTAGGGTGACAACCAATGTGTCTACTCGAATTCTTAACCCTTTCCAAGTTCTTTCCCTGTTTAGAAGGATGCATGATGAGGTGGACATTTATATTTATTTTATATATCTTTGGTTTGATTTTACTTCTCTTTTCCTTTTTGAGAAGGGATCATGGTATTGCAAGTTGAACATTTTTGTTACATTTTGTTGTAGGATTGTGAATTACTTCATGTTGCTGAAAAACCGGAGAAACTCATAATAACTAACATTATTGTGCCACCTATAGCCATTCGACCATCAGTTATAATGGATGGATCATTGAGGTAATGCCAGTTTGGTTATATTTTTGTACTTCCTCTCCTTCATTAGCTTTATAGAAGACTGTGTTTACTGAATATGTTGTGTGTCTAACACAAACCACACAGTATAGATTTATATTCATTTACATAATCAAATACAATTAATTTTATCTAATAATTAGGAATAAAATCTGTAACGGCTAAGACTATTTACATTCTAACACTCTTCCTCAAGCTGGAGTATATATGTTATATGCACCAAGCTTGTTACAAATATACTCAACCCGAGGGCTTCTAAGGGACTTGGTAAACATGTCAGCTAGTTGATTGCTAGAATTGACAAAATCAGTAGTGATTTCTCTAGAGGGCACCTTTTCTCTTACAAAGTGACAATCAATCTTTATGTGTGTGGTTCTTTCATGGAAGACTGGGTTTAATGCAATGTGAAGTGCCGCTTGATTGTCACAAATAAGTTTTGTTTCATGGATGTTTCTTATTTTTAGTTGTAGTAGTAGTTGCCTAAGTCACGTGAGCTCACAAGTGGCTGCTGCTATATCACGATATTCTGCTTCTGCACGGGATCTAGTAACTACGTTTTGCTTCTTGCTTTTCTATGAGATCAGGTTTCCTCTGATAAGAACACAGTACCTAGAAGTAGACCTTCTATCTGATGGGAATCATGCCCAATCCGCATCAGAATAACAAGTGATCTTAGTATTGCCTTTGTCTTCATACAATAACTCTCGTCCTGGAGCATTTTTTATGTATTGAAGAATACGTGTCACAGTATCCCATGATTATCATAAGAGGTAGTTAGAAACTGGTTTACTACACTAACTGCGAAGGTGATGGCAGGTCTGGTGATGGTGAGATAATTGAGTCTGCCTACCAAGCGGCGATATCTTTCCGGGTCTTTCAATGGCTCTCTTTGACCCAAAAGGAGTTTGATATTGGGATTCATTGGAGTATCACAAGGACGACAGTCAAGCATACCAGTTTCAGTATGAATGTCCATAGCATACTTACGTTGATTAATAACAATGCCAGAAGAAGATTGGACAACTATAATGCCTAATAAATATTTTAGAGGACCCAAATCTTTAGTATGAAATTGCTTTGAAAGTGCTCTTTGAGTTGTTGAATTCTAGTCTCATCATCACCAGTGATGACAATGTCATCAACATAGACAACAAAATAAATGCACTTACCGAAAGAAGAATGAATGTAGAATGGCTGATCATGTCAAACTGTAACAAGGTAGAACTGAAATGATCAAACCATGCCCGAGGAGATTGCTTCAAACCATAGAGACCGATGAAGCTTACAAACAAGACGAGAATCACTAGGAGCAATACAACTAGGGGGTTGATCCATATAAACTTCTTCTTGCAACTCATCATGTAAGAAGACATTTTTAATATCTAGCTGATGAAGAGGCCAATGATAAATAGCACTAGAGCCAGAAAGAGATGAACAGGAGTAATTTTGGCCACAGGGAAAAAGGTGTCCTCATAATCTAGACCAAAAATCTGTGTTTATCCTTTGGTGACCAATCGAGCTTTTAACCGATCAATTTGATCATCATGTCCAATTTCACTGTGTAAACCCAACGACAGCCAACACTTATCTTGCCAGGAGGTAACAGAACAAGTTCCCAAGTGCCACTAAAATGTAAGGCTGCCATCTCCTCCACCTTGCCTGATGCCATCCGGGACACAGACTTCAAAGAAGAAACAAAGGAGAAATAGGATAGAGAAAAACGATCATAATTAATGGTAAAAACATAGAGAGAGTTAGGATTACGAGAGGATCAAATACTTTTTTTGATCGCAATAGGAAGTTCAGGTCCAGGGGGCGTGGGCAAAGGGGCGGTTGGAGCAGGAGTTGATGCTGGAGGATCAGTAGAGTGAGTCATAATCGGATTTTGAGACCGTCTTTGGTATTGAAGCAATGGAGGTGGAGGAGAAGCAATTACTTCAGTTGGAGCAGGCGGAATAGATGAGACTTCTAAAGAGTCTATTGCAAAATTGGCATCCAATATAGTAGAAGTAGAGAAGGAAGTAGTCTCAAAAAAGGTGATATCAGCAGAAACAATATATCGTTGAAGTTGAAAAAAAAACATCTATAGCCCTTCTGAAGCCGTGAGTAACCAAGGAAAATACACTTGAGAGACTTAGCAAAAAGTTTATCTTTACTTAGAATAAGGTCATGGACAAAGCATGTGCAACTAAAGACACAAAGAAGAATGGAGTAAAGACCTTGTGTTGGATATAAGATAGAGTGAGGAACTTAATTATTTAGGACGGAGGAAGGCATGCGATTTATCAGATAACATGCTGTGAGAATGACATCTCCCCAAAACAAAGAGGAACATTGTGGTGAAGAAGAAGGGTACCGGTAGTCTCAACCAAGTGCCGATTTTTTCTTTTAGCGACACCATTCTATTGTGGCGTGAGAGCAAGATGTTTGATGAAGAATACCCTGTGAACGAAGAAAAGACTGAAACTGAGAAGACATATATTCATGAGCATTGTCAATGCGTAAAATTTTATATTCATTTACAGAATCAAATGCAATTAATTTTACCTAATAATTAGGAATAAACTCTGTAACGGCTAAGGCTATATACATTCTAACAATCTGTAACGGCTAAGGCTATTTACATTTTAACAAGCTTCATTTGATTTTTTATGGTCATATGGAATATGTGTACAAGGGAAGGTAAAAAAAGAAAAGATTGTGGGATGGAGTTTGGGCCAAGGGATTTTATACTTGTTTATCAGACTTGAAATAGGAATACTGCTAGCAGTAAGGGAGGAAACAATGGTGGAGAGTTTGGAGACTGGAGAGTGTAGTAGAAGGTACATGTTGGCATGTTGCAGCAAGTTATTGGAGTGGGGAATTCTGCAACGATGGAAGAGGAAAGGAAACATGAATTAGGAGGGGATAATGGACAGCCATAAACTGATGGCTTAGGCCAGGAGGGCAGAAATTGTGTATCAACTCTGTTAGTTATCTCTCTTCACTGCATTTTCTACATTTTCTCAATTCAGTGCATTTGTTTTTGTTTATGAAGCAGCATTTCCCCCTTGTAATGGATATCTCATTGAGCTTGATAATCAATTCAATTTATTAACCTCATTCTTCAATGTCAAATTTGTGATCTAATGGTGCTATAAGTGATGCCAAAGTGTGGTGGAGTTGTGCATGCTTTGTAAATATTATAAATATGAAAAAATGAAGGCATTCTTGAGCACCTACCTAAAAGCTTTTGTTTGTAAGAGAGTTGGTCCTTGGGAAGGTCTGTGATCAATTGGCAAGGACTCTGATTCTTTCTCCCTCCTGACCCTCCATTTTTCATGATGAAATCAAATTTAAATATAAAGAAGTAAATAGGTCTATGCATTATTTATGTTTCAAACCTGGGGGGCTTGTGCTCATGTTAGGGGGTATATTAGAAATATAAATACCATTCTTGTCCTCCATGTTTCCAATGTTGTTCTTTGACACTGAGCTTGTAGTGTATTTAACTAGTGTGAGATGTCTGAATTTTCAGCCACCTGTCTACATATGAATATTATTTAGGATAGGATTATGTTTGTGCTTCCATGTTGGATTATGCACATGGCGTTCTACAAGGCTTTTCTTTGGTGCATGTTTTGAGGGACTAGAGAGCTCCATTGTCCTGAAGCTTGTATTTCTATTGTTCCTTTGCCCTCTTTCTTTTGTTTTTAGGGGGATTCCTGATCCCCTGTGCCTTTTTTCTCAGCTTCAATAATTCTTTTATAGAAAATGATAACAACTGATGCTTATGATTTTCTTCTTCATTTGTTGCAGCAATGAAAATGACATAACAGAGAGGCTAAAGAATATAATCCAAGCAAATGCTGTTCTTCGCCAGGAATTACAAGAATCCAGTGGTTCATCCAAATTTCTGGTATAGCAGGACACATTGAATGATCAAAATTTCCTTGTCAACCTTCAGTTGATGTTAAACATTTTGATATTTTTTTAGTATTAAGCTCCTTCCTTTATGCATACACATAAAGACAGGTTCCCACAGATTATGTGCACAGAAGAGGTTCTTTTATTTGTTTTTAACACATTATCATGAACATGTATTTTAGTCCTTTGGACTTCATGCTTTATCTTTCTAGTATGGTAGCTACAGGGTGTCTACATGCCCAGTGGGTCTGAGATGAAATCCTTTTTGGATACAGACATTTTTGCCTTGGCCTTGAGGTGCTTCTAGTGGAATTTGAACCCTTGCACCTTGGGTAAATTCATTTCAGATGGAGCTTAGTTTACCAACTGTACCATGCATTGCGGATGATTAATGTTTCTATTTTTATGAAATTTGTTAAAACTCATAATCTTGAGGGTAGCTCTTGGATAATAATATGGTATAGAATTTAGTTGTGATATAATGTTGATTTGAATTGCATACACTCTAGAAACTGGTTTTACTGTTTGCTTGGGATTTCTCTTTAGTCCTGAGATACATCTTTTGGTTTCAATGATGTAATGGTGTTGTGATTGGTGTTGTGATTGTGTTAATTGTTTTTGTTTAGGATGGTTGGGATATGCTTCAACTTGAAGTTGCTCAATTCATAAATAGTGATGTTCGTGGTGTACCATTCTATATGCAACCGTCCAAGCAACTGTCTGGTTTTGTTCAGCGCCTGAAAGGGAAGCAGGGACGTTTCCGTGGCAACTTATCTGGGAAACGTGTTGAATATACTGGAAGGACAGTTATTTCACCGGATCCTAATTTGAAGATTTCTGAGGTCAGGAACTGATGCTTGCCAGTTACCATCTATATGGACTTTTCTATCCTTTAAATGAAGCATAAGCTAATAAACTAACAGCTTGTTTGGTAAACATAACAGGTTAGAAAATGATAGGATATGAGAGTTGCATAAGAACACAAAAGGATAATAGTAGGTTTTTACTCTTATTTTTGTTTTATGTTTGATGCTTACCAAAATAAAAAACTAGATAGATTGTATTGTTGTATCCTGTCTATTTCTAACCCAGCTCTATGTATAGGATAAAATTTACACTAGAGAGAAAGATATGATAAAGCTATAGGATAGATTTATCATATCCTATTGCTTCAACAAATGTTGGAGATAAGATATGATAAGAAAATATACCCTATCCTCTTTTTTAATATTGTCCATTAAATAGGTCCTAAAAAAAATATAAATATTATCAACTGTAAATATGTTCATTGAAGATATTTACTAGTTTATATCACTATAATTCTCTTTCCCTCCTTTTCTCAACATTCAAGTTTGTGCTTGCTAACTTCTCATTTGCTTTAGGTTGCAATACCCATCCATATGGCTCGTATATTGACTTACCCTGAGCGAGTTACGCATCACAATATGGAGAAGTTGAGACAATGTGTGAGAAATGGTCCTGATAAGTATCCTGGTGCAAGGATGCTTAGACGTGATGGAGGTCACTCATGGTTTGTACTGTTTCATTTTCCCCGTGTTGAATAATCACAAGACGTTTTTTTTTTGGACAATAATCTAGGGCCATTCATTATTTTGCAGGTCCTTACAAGTTCTTTCTAGGAAGCGTGCTGCAGATGAATTGAGGATTGGTGATATTGTTGATCGCCATTTGGAAGATGGAGACATTGTTCTTTTCAATAGACAGCCAAGCTTGCATCGGATGTCTATTATGTGTCACAGGGTAATTTGTTAAAACTGAAATGTAGAGTAGTGGCAGATTGGATTGCATTGGATTAATAAAGCTTTGTACACATGCAGGCAAGGATTATGCCTTGGAGAACTTTGAGATTCAATGAATCTGTATGTAACCCATATAATGCTGACTTTGATGGTGATGAGATGAACTTACATGTTCCACAGACTGAGGAGGCTCGAACAGAGGCTATTTTGTTGATGGGGGTAACATCAATGGATCTCATTGACTCATTATCATTTGGGATTGAATGTTGACTATCAATAATGCTTTTCAGTCCATTTTTTACTGTGCAATTTTTGTTATCTCCAAAAAATTCATTATGGTCCATCTGCTATTATCTTCTAATTGCTTTACTGGACAATTCCTTTTATGGGCCTGTCATTTGCATGTATCCTTTGAGTTGCTAATCTAGCTGTGTTTCATTATTTCTTCTGTATTTTCCATACACTGCTCCCCCTGTATCATTTTGATTCAAATTTTTTCAAATACAAAATAAACTAATCCCAACATGGGCTAGGATTAGAAGATTGTGGTTAAACATGGTTTAACTATCATTATTTACATTTTTCAATACTGCGGATATGTTCAATTCACTGAATAGTGCTGAATAATTATAAGGACTCAAAGAACTAAACATTATTTCTTATGAAATTTTATTTGTTTACAGGTGCAAAACAATTTGTGCACACCAAAAAATGGCGAAATTCTTGTTGCCTCTACTCAAGACTTTTTAACCTCTTCTTTTCTTATGACCAGGAAAGATACTTTTTATGATCGTTCTACCTTTTCACTTGTTTGCTCATACATGGGGGATGGCATGGATTTTGTTGACCTGCCAACTCCTGCAATTATTAAGGTGAGGGTTGAAGGTTATAAATGAATACACACTGAATATGCTTGCATATTTAGCCATGTTATGGGGAGTTGTGGTGTGTGTTTGTCTCTGCAGGTGTATCTGAAAGGAAGGCATCCCCTTACTCTAGTTGGAAGTTTTCCTTACCCTTTCAATAACTTTCTATAACATGCAATAACCAATCCAAGTGTTGAATAATTTTATATCATCTTGACAATGCAGCATATAAAACTTTTAGATAAATCACATACAAAAAAGATTATTATGTATGTAATATAATAATCAACACATACTTGTGTTTGAAACATCAAATTACATGTTAAATATAGTGTTGTTATGATGCAATATTGACTATTTTAAGTTCTATGAAATTTGACAGACTTAATTACCTCATTTGAAATTTCAATCCAATGGTTGGATTGATGAAATTAACAATCATAAAAAGTTGTTCAAGTGAGTAAATTTGCTATGACTTACTTATGGTGTAAGTGGATCTCCATATATATATTTATATAATTAATATAATCTCTTGATCTTTCGTTGATGCATTCCATTTTGCAATGTATCTGTCAATCAGTAAGTTGAATTTTATTTTTCCTTTTTATATTCTCTAAAGTATATAACCAACATCCCCTCCTACTCACTGAAATCCTGAGAATTCACTTCTTAAGGACATTTCAGAGCATTGACTATCTGAAGGTATGCAGTGGCTCCTGGGCAGATTTTTGGGTGTTCTTGGAGTGAGATTATTTTATCACTTTAGGGGATTTTCCTTTCCTAGGCTGTATTTCTTCTTAGCATAGGTCCCTTGTCCTTTTTTAGGGGGGATAGAAAAAAGTTCACTAAAAAGAGGAGAACAAGTACACCAGAGTGATAAAAAGGTATGATCAAAAGCTAAAAAAATAAACTAGGGACACGAGAGGTGGAAATACAGTATTATGGCAGCCCAATCCATTAGCAAATTAGATTTGAACAGCACATTAGGTACAATGTCTTTGAAAGTTAAAACAACTATGGGCTGAGAACCAGAGTGGCGATAAGAAATCCGAATGCTAATTTAGGGTCAAGGAGTTCTACAGGGAAATATGTTATTTCTTATTCTTTGTATTCTTCCTTTTAATATTTTACTTTCTTTTTATGGTTTTTGATTTCCTGTACAAGATGTGTGATGGGAAAAGAACTAACTTAATGAAAATCATACTTATTTTGAAGTTTGTCAAAATTGGGCCGATATCAATATACCTTTTTGTGTCATGCTTAGATTCGTGGCTTGGTTGAGTTCTCCACATTTGATATAACAAGCTGAATTAATTAAAATTTGTCAGAGTCAATCAATTTTTCTAATTTATACAGTCAATATATTTATTTTCTTTATGCAATTATTTTTGTAGCCTGTTGAGCTTTGGAGTGGTAAGCAGTTATTTAGCATTATCCTGCGCTCACATGCAAATGTGAGAGTCTATGTGAATCTTACTGTTAAGGAGAAGACATACAGCTCAAAGCTTGATGACAGGAAAAGAGAATTGAAAACAATGTGCCCAAATGATGGGTTTGTTTATTTTCGTAATAGTGAGTTGATCTCTGGACAACTTGGAAAGGTTACTTTAGGTTAGTTATTCTAAATTTACCTTTAACCTTCGTTTATTTCATTTCATATTTTTATGCTCAAAAAGGTTGTATAATTATAGATATGGTTAAATAAACATGATTGTGCATGTTTGGATTAACTTATTTTGAGGTTTGAAAAACTTTGTTTTGGGTACTTATTGAGAATGATTTTGAAAGAAAAAGCAATTATTTATCAAAAACTATGTAATAAAAAATGTGGCAACTTATATTACGCACATTTGTCAAGAAATAACTCTACTAAATGTGCTGAAGCTTTTCCCAAGATGTTTGATGTTGGGTAAATGCAGTTTAATAGCTTGATGAGAGTTACAACATTTAGGGGAAGTAGTAAATGTTTGGGGCAGTTTTCAATTTATTTACCCATTTAGTGGCCATTTGGATGGATACGAAGTTTTTATGTTTTAAATGTTTGAAATATTTTTACTCTTAACTGCTTTTTGTGTTTTTGAAAATATGTTGGTGTCCTGCTTTGTTTTGCATGAGTTCAGGAAATGGCAATAAGGATGGACTTTTCTCTGTGTTACTAAGAGACTATAAAGCACATGCTGCTGCTTCTTGCATGAATCGTTTAGCTAAATTGAGGTAAATATGTCTGCTTTATGGGTGGTAACAGTGATGTATGCCTTATATTAGAGGTAAAAACAAAATGTTTTAAATCAGATTAAAAAGAAAGAACATTAAAAAATGCTTTAAAAGTAATCTTGGAGGGGTGGCTCAAGTGAGAAACAAACTTGAGCTCTGCTATTGAGGTGCCTTTGCAAAGTCAGGGTTTAAGAGAGGAGGGTGAAACATTGGCGATAGGCATTGGGATTTGGGGGATCTTAATTATGACTGTCACTTGAGTGGTTCTTGTGTAATTAAAACCTATGAAAGTGGCAGCAGGGCATAGTTATTTTGTATTTTGTGATTAGGAATTGAGAGGTCACTCTCTTTGGGAGGTCCTGCAGTTGTATATTCACTACCCTGCAGTTGCAGTGGTGTTTTTGTGATAATCAATACCACTGGCTTGATTTTTCTCTCCTTTTATTCTGCGTTTCTATTTCTTCTATATAACATTCCCAAAGTGAGCATTAGCCTCAGGAAACCTTGTAAGAACAAAAATAATGCTGTTAGAGTGTAATTTCTGTTAATACCTGTCACTTTATGCATTTTGATGTTGTATTTTGCATTCATTGGTTGGGAACATTTAGAAACTTAACACAACATATGATTTGCTTGAATGCAGTGCACGATGGATCGGAAATCATGGGTTCTCAATAGGCATTGATGATGTCCAACCAAAAGAGATACTGGTCAACAAGAAAGATGAAACAATTTCAGATGGTTATAGGAAATGTGATGGTTTTATAGAAGCATTCAATAAAGGAAAACTAGAACTCAAAGCTGGTTGTGATGCTGCTCAAACATTGGAAACTCTGATAACAGGGGTATTGAATGGAATACGTGATACAGCAGGGAAGGTATCCATTTATTTTTCCTTTAGTATCCTCTGTTTCAGGACAATTGTTTCATTTGTTTGCCTGCTGATAACTTTGTGACTTTCCCAGGTTTGCATGCAAACCCTACACTGGAGAAATAGTCCATTGATCATGTCACAGTGTGGCTCCAAAGGATCACCTATTAATATTAGTCAAATGGTTGCCTGTGTTGGTCAACAGTCAGTGGGTGGTCGTCGTGCTCCTAATGGGTTTGTAGATCGAAGCCTTCCTCATTTCCCAAGAAAAGCTAAAACCCCTGCTGTATGTTCAATTCACTTAATGTGGAACTCAATTTAAACATAGAATTCAATCCCTACTCATCCTTAATTCATTGTTTTCTTCTTTACTTAGCAGGATTAATACATATAAGTTGCTGCACAGTTGCAATCTGTAGTCCTGATCACCTTAAATTGTTCTTGTTGGATTATATGAAAAATATCTTAGTATCAATATTATATTTTACATAATTTCAGAATACATTAGATTATCACTTAGGATTAGTTTCCCTATTTCCTTGGTTTCTCAGTTAAATTATTATCTCATAATTTATTTCCTAATTTAGTTAGGATTGTGATTATTATTATTATTATATATATGCGGTAGTGGTTTCTTCTGTATTACATTGTAATGCATTGCATTATACTAGAAAATATTATTTGAAAATATCTTGGCATCAATATTATATCTTACATAATTTCAGAGTACTTTAGATTATCATTTAGGATTAGTTTCCCTATTTCCTTGGTTTCTCAGTTTACTTATTATCTCATGATTTGTATCCTTATTTAGGTAGGATTGTGATCTATTATTAGTATAAACATGGCTAATGCTTTATGTTTTATATCAACTTGTAATGCATTGCAATATACAAGAAAATATTATTTGAAACCTATTTTCTCTCCTTTTCTTCCCTCTATATACCTAAAACCCTATAATTTCACCAAAAAAGTTGCTCAACCATTTGGAACAGAGCATCATATGTTTTTAGGTACAAAAGTTTAACTGGAAAGATCATTGTGCAGCACAAGTGTGAAAATATAAGGGTTATTAGGTTATTAAGTCTTATTGTATTGTGTTAGAATATTAGGGTTAGTTCTAGACTGATACTTGCCCTAATGATTAGTATAAATAGAAGCATTAGGTTATCACATCAAAATATCAATCTCATGTCATATTGTTAAGATTCTATCTATTTTCTCCCTTTCAACTTAAACTATAGTTTTGACAATATGCCTAGATGATGTAAGAAAAGACTAAAGGATCGATTCTGGATTTGAAAAATGGTAAAATTTTTTGTCAATAGAAATTGTGTTATAGACATCAAAGATGAAACAGTTGCTTAGATTAGTAAATGAGCATAAATGCTTAAGTAAATATCTCATTACAGTAATGGGCAAAGCAGTGTAAGCGTTTAAATGAAAATCAGTGGATGATGATGAGACCTGTTGATCACACTGCTTCATGGATATGAGATGTGGGCAAAACAGTCGCATCACATGCATGCGTGTACACAGTTATTTATGTTACTAAAACTTGAGATTTGAGAAGCTAAATTTGAATTTGTATGTTCATCAGGATGTTGGATTGTCGTCGTGTTTTATCTTCAATATCATTTGCCTTCTTTATTATTGTCAGCACAGTAAATTTCCCTACTTAATATTGTCTTCATTCCACATCACACTTAACTTTTATGTAACTGACACTGATAAATTTGCTTTTTCATGCATAGTCCTCAAATGTTTGAATCCTTATTGTATATTGCACAATTTCTGTAATTTCTATTGTCTGTCTCTGCACAATCGTAAATTTGTATTGTTAAATATTGCCCTTTTTATGCATTACAACTCACTGTTGTTTCTGACATGAATACTGTTATGCTGCTGTTGATGCAGGCTAAAGGATTTGTTGCTAATTCCTTTTACAGTGGATTGTCAGCTACTGAGTTTTTCTTCCATACAATGGGAGGGCGAGAAGGGCTTGTTGATACAGCGGTAGAGTTCATATTTCAAATATGCTATGCACAATATACTTTTAAACTCAATTCAATGATATCAACAATTAGAACCATGTCATTAAAAACAACTAATATATGCCTTGTGGATTAAGGCTGCATGTTTTTGACCTGGTTATGAAACTATGGAAGTCATTAGAGCTAATTTTGAATTTGTCCATTTGGAATATCTTGTTGCATGACTAGTTTACATATTTATTGCTATAGCCTGCAAGTTGATTGGGATTTTGTTTTTCTTATATTTGGTGTTGTCGGGGAATGTAGCTCAATTTAAATCTCTGTTGGTCTGTGCTGTGGATTATAATTAAAAGAAATAGGGCCAACAGGAATCCTGCTTTAATTTTGTTTTAGTAAACAAATAATGCAGTAAAGTTAAATATTATGTATGTAGGAGCTACTGGTTGTGGTAAATTAAGGACCGTTGGGATGTTGGCCAATTGTTAATTTTATTACTTCCTCTAGTCCTTTTTACAAGACACTTTCTAGAAGGTTTTAGTAATCTTTATTATAAGGTACTTATAGTTTCTATGAAGGATTTGTTTTTGTTTCCATTTGCCCTTAATAAATGGAGATGGTGATAACTTAAAACCTAAAGGGTCAATGTTGAATAATATTAAATGAGGGTAAAATTACTGTTGTAATATTTTTTTTAATAAATAAATAAAAAAAAAACTAACTTTAAACTATTATTGGTTTGTTGTTATTTAGCTAAAGGTTCCTTGTAAAAAGTACCAGAAGGGGGGGGGGGGTATTGTTTATATTGGGAAGAACAAAAATGGACTTTCATTTTATAAATTTTCCTGCTTGGTGTCTTTGCAGGTTAAAACTGCAGACACTGGATACCTGTCTCGTCAAATAATGAAATCTCTAGAGGACTTGTTTGTAAATTATGATTGCTCTGTAAGAAATGCTGCTGGTGGTATTGTTCAATTTTGCTATGGAGATGATGGCATGGATCCAGCAGGCATGGAAGGGAAAAATGGAAAACCTTTAAATTTTGAGCGGTTGTTTTTGAGAAGCAAGGTTTGTAAGATGAATTTTTTGTTTTATGTAGTTTCATCATTGTTGCCATACTTCTGTAAATTCCTGAAAAATTTAGTTGTTTTTTTTGTGTTTTGTGTTCTGTTTTATTTTTTTTGGTAGGCCATATGCCCCAGCGATAGAGATGATGAAATTTTAACTTCCTCAGATGCATGTAAAGTAGTTCATGAGAAGCTTTCAGAAATTGGTATGTCTAGGTCAGTGGAGAAGGGGGTTTCAGAGGATGATATATTGTCAGAGGAGGTGGGATCCTCTGCTGACTTTGTTAATTCTCTGCTATCCTTTATAAAAAATAGTACAAAAATAACTGAAGAAACTTTTATCGAAGATATTTCTGAAGAGATGAAAAAATTTGGGCAGAGGATATCTGGGATCACCCGTAGACAACTGGAGGTATTTCTGATCTTGTTCTAAATATTGGATTCAATATTTTTTCCCCGTAGTCATTATTGTTTGCTTTCATTTGGTCGTTGCACTCTTGTTATTATGTGAGCTAGTCCTAGCTGTCCGACTTACTTTAGCTAAATAATATATTTGTTATCTCTTTTATAGAGTTTTAAATTGTGTGCTAGAATATATTGGATGTCTTTTTGAAAATAAATGAAAGGAATGTTTTCAGTTAGAACTATGCTAATTTGTTTTTTTTATTTCTGATGTACAAACTAGCTACAATTTCACAAATTTGAATGAAATAAACTGTTTTGGTGGGATCTATTATTATGATGTAGCCAAGGCTAGTATGACAATGATTTATTTTTTGGATAAAGGAATTTATTGAGTTAAGACAAAATGAAGATTTTTATGAGTGTGGAGGACAAGAGATTCTCCTTGCAAAAGGGAAAAGAAACCAAGAGATAACAAAGATTACACCAATCGAGCAAAGCTTCCTGCTCCATCAACAGATCTATGAGTGGGTTTACTATATTTTCCAATTTGGATCTAAATCTGTTATCACCAGATTCCATGAAGGACATCTCAAAAATATTTAGGATTCATGAGGGGCATTGTGAATTCCGTGTAAATTATAATGCCTTTTGGATTATCAAACATACTCTGTTTTAGTCCTTTACAAATGAGATACTCAGTCCATTCTTGAAGGAAGTAGCCTTGGTTTTCTTCAATGACATTTGATTTACAGTAAGGATCAGCAGGCCCATTTGGTGGTGTAGTTGAAGATTGTATTGTTGCTCTAAAGGGGACTGTTGAAGATTAATTATAGATATGGTTAAATAAGAGCTTATAATAGCAAAAACAATCCTCACCTTGCAAGCTAGCTTTTGGGGTTAAGTTAGACTTAGAATTCAAATTCAACATGGTATCACAGCTAATTCTAGATCCAATATTGAGCTATCCTTGATTGAAAAAAAAAAAAAAAAACTAGTTCCATGAATTTTCCTAGTGCAATTAACCTAAATCCATGGATTTCCTAGAGCAACTTACTTGGTTCGACAACTTTCTCAGTGCTACCTTATCAAGTGCCATATTTAAAAGGGATATCCCAAATGTATCAGGCAGTTGGTAGGAGCATGTAATATCAGCTGGTCTCTAGATTTAGAGTTCAACCACATAATGATTAGAGTACCTTCATTTACCTATAGCTATTCTGTTAATGGGGGTTGGTCTTTTTTGACCCTTTAGGGTAGTGATGTAGGGCAGTTCACTTGACTGTAGGGGGTAATTTTGGCCATTGAAGTGGCATGCGCGTACAATTACAACACAGGGAAATCACTAGAGTCCAATGATGGTGCTGGTGGAGCAGGGGCTGTCTTCTCAGAGTAAAAGATTTTGAGGTTAGGGTTTGAGAGAATGCCTTAGGGTGTGGACATGCAACCACTTTAAGTGTGTTTTGGCTAATTGACTGCTAGAATGAGGTGCCAACAAATAGAAAGGGACTGGCACAAAGTCAAATGGTGGCCTAGAGGGTGGTACATGGATTAGTGAATGGGACGTGGAGAAGTTTAAACAGATTTTGGCAGTGACGCTTCAAGGTTGGGTCGATTTAAAGATGCTTGCGGTCTGAGGCCCTGTTTTGGGGTTTTTGTGGTTGCGGAGACTAGGCACAAAATGCTGTGTGGATACTGTGCAATGAACCCATAAGTTAGTCCCTATAATGTGGCTTGGAAGTTGGAAGTCAAAACAGTTTTGTTGAAAAGAAATTTCTGAAAATATTTTTTCTTTATAAATTTCTCAGGGAATGGTGTTTACCTTTTATACACTAAGGGCTCATAATTAGCTTCCTAGAATAGAGCCAGATTATATAAACTATGCTACCATACTGAAGGTAATACTACTAAGATGAGGAGAATAAATAAACCAAATCTGTACAATAAAAGAAGACTTTAATCACTAGATAATACAGCTTAATATATTATATTGGTAGAGACCTTCACATGCAGTGCAATGATACAGAATTCTCATGATATACAGCTCTATTTCCAAATAAACAATTTGGCTACTATTGTTGTTTTTGTTACATGTTCTACTTTTCAGATTAATGCTATCCATTTCTATTTTGTTCTATTTAAACTACCAAAAGCTTTCTCATTTTCTTGTTTGTAAAAGTAAATTTAAAAATTGGAAGTGAATAACTGACTTTTTGGTGAGGTTATGCACATAATTACTCTCTGTAAATTTGAGTTTTATCTTTTCTGTATTTTTCTTGATTTTGTTCTGGACATTTGGTTCTCAGAATATAATTTTCTTTTTTATTGGTCTAGTTATTGTTCCTTTAATTAATGCATTCTTCTTATTAGTTTGTGGTTGTATTTACATAACATTTTATTTTTCAGGTTTTTGTGAATATCTGCCTATCTCGTTACCGTTCAAAAAAAATTGAGGCTGGAACTCCTTGTGGTGCAATTGGGGGTCATAGTATAGGGGAACCTGGGACCCAGATGACTTTGAAAACTTTTCACTTTGCTGGGGTTGCAAGCATGAGTATCCTTTATTTGACGGTGTTGTCTACTTTGATAATCATTAACGCTCTATTCAATACTTCACTGATTGTTACTATATGTGGATTGGTTTTGAATGTTGTTCCTTAATCTGTCATTAGATGTTACTCTTGGAGTTCCTCGTATCAAAGAAATAATTTGTGCAAGCAAAAAGATCAGTACACCAATTATCACTGCAATGCTTGAAAGTGATGATAATGCAAATACTGCAAGGATGGTAAAGGGTCGAATAGAAAAAACAAATTTAGGCCAGGTATGCAGTTGTAGAAAATGTCTTAATATGCTTATGCCCTAATTATCAATCAATTAAATAGATATTCATATGCTTAAAACAATATATTTTGTTATTCAATCTTTTTTCAAATGTCATTAATTATTCTTTCATAAATTCATCTTTGTTAGTATGTATAGTGCTTATATTTGTGTACTTGAGAGTTGTATTTTAAGGTAAATGTCAACCTCAGTTTTCAGAGTCAAGTTTAAGCAATTAAGAATATTCATATTTTATTAAACAAGAAAACATTTATTACACTTTTGTATCTTCAATATAATAAATATATTTTTTTAATAAAGCTTGTTACTTTAGTTACTTAAAATTAGTCCAAAGGATTAAGATTAACAAAGCCATTTCATTAATATGGATTACAGATTACTATTACTGTTATGTTCATATATGCAATACAACAATAACAACTCAATTGCAAGTTACTCGTCTGTACAGGGTAGTTGATGATAGTCATTTGCATATTAATGCACGTGTTTCTTTGAAGATTCTACTTTTCTCTTTTAGTCTTCTAACTTTTGCTATACTTATGTATTCTTAGAATTATGTAAAAAATATCTCATAATATTATGTATTCTTAAGATTGGTTTTATATTTTCTTAAATTTCAGCATGACATGTTGAAAGAAAGAGAAATAAGACATAATGAAATCTCAGTGATAAAATTGCACAATGGAGAGTATAGTTTATACTGGATAAGTAATACAAAGAACTGTCCATGGTCTCATGGTGGGTCCTAAGCTTGGATAAAGAAAGAGGATAGTGTAGGAGAATAAAATATCATTTGACTCACTAAGCTATTTAATTGAAGTTTGAGATCAAAGAAAATGTCTGATGAGTAGACTATGAGAACAAGGGTGGTATTCAAATATGTGTTAATCATAGGTGGATAAAATTTATGAATTACATAATGAAATTATAGAAAAATGTAATTAAAGCATAAATTAAGAAACTAGACCAGAATTGCAGAAAAATAAAATTAATTTGATGTCATACTATGAAAGTCTACTATAGAAGTTATATATTTTCTGAGGTTGATAGATTGTATTGGAACAAAGTAATAAACTTATGATAGGAACTGAGATTGTATTGAAATAACAGAACCAACACAGGGAAATTCCCTGAGATTACAAGCAGTAAAAATGGTAAAAACAGAATAATGGAACAGAGTACAGCAATCTAACGAGCTAGTAATTAGTAAGAGCAATCCTCCTATTGCCTCTGCTACCCCTAATGACCTCCCAGATATTTTCTGCTTCACGCCTCCGGTACTTCACCCTATATTTCCTTCCGCTGCTACCTCACTCATCCACGTCATACAGTTTGTTATTCCGTTAAAATCTTCCCTAGCAGTCTCAGCCTCTTTGTCTATTTTACCCCTCTTTCTCTGGTATGTTTTTAGTGGAGGCTCATTTAGCTTGGACCCAACAACTTACAAGTGATTTTTATTAGCTTAGAAAAACATATTATCATGTGATAAGAGAAGTGTTGTTGAAGGCTTTGGAATGGAAAGAGTTTTTGCGTGAATTATGTAGTTATAAAAAACATGTATGAGCTATAAAAGTGTCAGAATTCTGGAAGGCACAGCTAAAAACTTTTCTATATCAACAGGCTTACATTTAGGTTCAACCTACATAATCTTGCTTGTGCTTACCAGACGTACCAAAAATTATATCTAAATGCATATTTTTTGCTAATGCCATAGTCTTAGCTGATGAGTTAAAGGAATAAGTTAACTTTAAACTTCAACTTTGGATACCAGCAATGGAGTTAAAATTATTTTGCTTGAGTGAAAGCAAGACGAAAAAAATACTGCAAGAGTCTTCTAAGGTTAAAAATTTTCTATCCAAATTGGTGTTAAAAGGTGTACACAAATAAGTGAAAAAGTGTCTGTATACTAGCTTCTCTATCATTGAAGTCTCTGCAGAAGCAGAAGACCCAATTTAGATTCAAAGAATGATTTCCTTTAGGATATCAGCATGGACATGTTTTGCTTAGTTGGAAAGGTAAAACAAGTGGGGGTAAGCCTTTGAAATGGAACTTTCCAATCCATAATTTCCTCCCAAAAAAAATGAGGAAAATATTGTTCAACAGCTCGTATACTTAAATTTATTAGTTTTTTAACTTGTGCTTGTTCATGTAATTTAACAAATTTATTCAGATTTTTTTTTTTTTGGGTTTTTTTTTTAAATGTGTTTATTAGATTCTCTGATTATGTAATGTGCCACACGATGTGAATTTAGTGAAGCATTTGGATCACGTTGTTATCATTTTAATCTTGTGTCCACTTTTTTTGAAAACATGAAATCATATATTTGTATCAATATTCTGCTTAAACTACTATTTTTGTCCTTTTATTAAGAAGCCATGTCCTTGGGTCCTTATCTTCTGGTATATTCTTTGAATGTCTATGCTCAAACACTTCAGCACTTTGTGCCAATTGATACAGGTTGCAAAGAGTATAAAAGTTGTTATGAGTTCAAGGTTAGCTTCAGTTGTTATCACACTTGACATGGAACGAATCCAAGCTGCGCATCTAAATATAGATGCTAATATTGTAAAAGAATCTATTTTACAAACTAAAAAGACAAAATTGAAGCCAGAGGTAAAGAGTTGCTCTTGTTATTATGATATTCTTTTTCTTTTATGCCTGCAATGTTCAAAATTTTTGTTCATATGCAGCATATTAAGATTTTAGATATTAAAAAGCTTGAAGTTGTTCCCCAAGATGCGGATAAGAGTAAAGTCCATTTTCAGCTTCACTATCTCAAAAATTTACTTCCATCAGTTGTAGTAAAGGTATTTTCATTTTGACTTTCTTGTTGGATGATACCCAATGGAAACTATTTTATGTTTGCTTTATGTGGGATTATAGTTTTTTATTTTCAGATAATCAGAGACAAAACACATCTTTTATTTCTTAATTGCAGGGAATTAAAACTGCAGAACGCATTGTTATCAGTAAAGAAGAAGATAAAGTGACGAAGGTCGAAAAGTTTAAATTACTGGTGGAAGGGTTAGTCGTCTCCGTATTCAGAATATATTTTTAATTTTCAGTTTCAGTATGATATGTTCCTTCAATCTCCTTTATATACCTGCTTGGATGCATAATTTGCACATTGCATTTTGTTTCTTGAGTGTGGGAATCTAGATCAAAGTGTTACTGAAAGAAATGTAAGACGTGGACTGATGTTAGCCCAGAAAAGTTGCTGCTTAATCGTGGGCTTTGCCTGGGATTTCACTAAATGTTTTGAGCAATCCTCTTGATTTTCTTTTTTACTATACAAAGTGATAGGAGGTCAGTAGAAGAGAGGAAAACACGATGTGTTATGGGAATGTATAATGAAAATCATAAATATGGATAATATTGTGAAGTACCTTGTAGGACTGCAAAAACTTATGCAGTCCTATTCTAAGTATAAGGTGGCCTCTGAGTTAGTGCAAACCAGAAATACTTCTAATTTTATATTTGTCTGTTACATTGTCATGAACTAGTTTTGAAAAACGAAAACTATGTTACTCTCCAGCCATAGTTTCGTTGTTATAGCTTAGCATTGCATTGTATTGCTGCTTTTTAATTGTTGACATTATTCTTTCCTTGTCTATATGTACCTTTATTCCCCTGTAGCACGGGCCTTCAAGATGTTATGGGAGTTGAAGGGGTTGATGGACGTAAAACTGTTAGTAATCATATCCATGAAGTACGAGACGTATTAGGAATTGAAGCTGCCAGAAAGTGTATCGTTGATGAGATCAATTTTACAATGGGAAGTCATGGAATGAGTATAGACATACGCCATATGATGCTTCTAGCCGATGTGATGACTGGCAGGGTGAGATGATGAAATTATTAAGGAAAAAATTAATAAAAAATGACCATATCTGTGTTTGTGCTAAATGTGTTAATTTCCACTAATGCAAGTGATTTATCAAACTAGGGTCAAGTCTTTGGAATAAATAGATTTGGAATATCAAAGATGGGTAAAAGTGTACTAATGCTCGCATCATTTGAGAGGACAGCAGATATTCTTTTCCAGGCATCGGTACATGGGAAGGACGATTTGATTGAAGGAGTAAGCGAATCCATAATCATGGGTATACCGATTCGGATAGGCACCGGAATGATCAAGGTCAAACAAAGGTGAGGAGAGGATGCAATGTATATTAATGTGGCTATATAAGACTCTGTTTTCATGGTAGTCTTGTTTATCATGCATGCATCAATTAACTTCGCTGGGTAAGCTTTTCTGTATGTTTCAATTGATCCTATGCGAATGTGACTCTGTGGATTCACTCAATTACTCTGATAACTTTTTTATGAATATTGAATAACTTTAATCTAATTGTTAGACTAAAAGTTCTTTACAAATAAATTATGTCTTTAAAACTTTATGATTTGAAATTTAATGGATACTCTATCAATCAACTTCATTATAACATGCAATATGTTTATTAAATTATTTATAAATGTTGATTATAAGATTGTGCATGCTTATGAATTTGATTTTTTTTTTTATCTATCTTAACTTTGGTAATAGCATGATTCAATAGTAACATTTGTTAAGTTTGTATTGAATAAGAAGTTATTAAACAAAATAAGTGTTTGTGTGTATATTTAGTAATAAACTTTCTTCCTTTTCTGAACCCTCTTCCATAGGTCGGCTTAATATATGCTTTATATACATTTTAGATTTTGGGATCTTATTTTCTATTATTATGGTCTTCACAATAGACTTCAGCTAATCTCTATCTTATAGGTTGGATCCGCCGGAGTTGCCTCGTGGAACCAGTCCTATTCTTCTATCTTGAATTTGAAATGTATATTTGCAGCAAGAATGTGGATCATCCAGGTCGGAATGCTCTGAACGTTGTCAGCTTAAGTTCGGAAATTTTGTCATTTATGTGCATATATTTTGTCTAGAACAATTGCAAGAACCATCCATGCATGCATGAGTTGAGATTTCTTGGCTCCTGAATTATCTTTATCCATTGTGTAAGAATTCAATCTTACCCACAAAATGTTAACCATTTTATTGATTAATGTTTATTGTAAAATATAACATTTTATAAATGATTCAATACAAATTTTATAATGGTACTATGTGATTCTTTTTTACACTTCATTTTGCTCAATAAAATTAAATTAATTTGAATTTGCTTTTTGAAAGTAATTGTTAAAATGTTTTACATTAGTTAAGAAAAGCGTCAAAATACTTCTTATAAGAGTTAGGACAGTTTTATTTCTATGAACTAGCTTTTGAGAGTGAGTTAGGTCTAAATTTCTTAACATAGTATCAAAGTTTATTCAGTTTGAAAGTTGGGCTGTCCACAAATCTTCAGTTATGTTGAGTTTACCCATGCACATGTCCAATCTTGCAAGTTTTATGCACATATCCAGTCTTAGACGTGAGGGAAGTGTGATAAGGTATTTCACATTGGTTAAGAATAGAGTTTATCAACGGAGTAAAAATATCTAACTTGACAACTTAGAAAGACAAAAAATGTTAGATAAAACCTAGTAAAGATGACAATAAGTATGAATATACATTCTTCACATGCTGGTAGTAAAACTAAAAGACCTATTTCTCATCCACATTAGCATGAATCACAAATTTAGAAACAGTTTATTTAAAATTTCTTCTAAATTATAAAATTATATTTTTTTGGTTCCATGTGTCTAAAGACTTGTATAAGAAAAGTAAAGTAAAATATTTCTTCAAATCAAGAGTCCTCATTCTGATGCAATGGCAAAGTTTACACAATTCAACTCAACCCTCTAGCAAGAACCAGTGCCTTTACATATTTTATCTCCTACCCTTATTTATTTTATTTTTTTTATCTTCGATGCATAGCGTTCACTGAGTCAATACGGAATTGACCAAATCAAATATCAAAATACGTAAATGGGCAAAAATGAAAATCCAAATTGCTTGAAGTAGGCCAAAACAGAAGTGAAAATGCAAAATGTCACTTCTTATTTACAAATTCGAATCAATCTTTTTCATTTTTAAAGTCCCTTGCATACTTTTCAGCTTGGGTAATCACAGAGAGTTATTTGCAACTGGGAATTATCAGGCTCGGGTGAATACTGTCTGATGAAGGTCCTTCTCCACCAAATCTCAAATGCCTTCTGAATGTTAGGACAGTCATCTCCTTTATTAAGAAATCGATTAAACCAATTCAGCAGCAGAGCCTGCTGTTGGAGTAAAGGAAGTGTCAGTATAGTTTGGCTCAGTCCATCCTCAACCAATTTCTTATCAACGGCTTTAGAAGCTCTCCTCATCCATCCGAAATCTTCATATAGAGCTTCTAGCCATGTTGACAATAGTGAAAATCGACTTTCTTTAGGCACCAGTATGTGTCCCCTCCCAATGCCAATGCATAGTTGTGCTGTGATTCTACTGATCTCATGGCGGTAAATTGTTGGAACTTTGGAATGAAGTGTAGCAAGTTCTTTCTGCTCTGCCCATATTTTCACAAATTCATCACACATCTTTTTGCCAATCAAAATGTCAACAATCCACTGAATATTGTCAGCTTCACGACTTATTTCACTCATTAAAACCCCGCGGTCTGGCATCTCATCCTTGCCGGTTGCTTCAGACAAGCGTAGGATGAGAGAATTGATGCACCTCAGACAAAGATAATAGAGTGTGTCTTTAGAAACATCAGGTCTGCTGCTATCTCTAGATGCATTATCTTTAAGCAATTTAGACAGCAAAGCTTTCATTTCCCTCCGAGCTTTGTCATCTTTTGCTTGAAGAACCCCACTCAGCATGTCCATGAAAATGTCATCAGCTCTTGGAGCAGTAGATGGATCAGATGATACTCTAAGAAGAACCTCGGTTGCAGAGTCATGAAGCTGCAGATGACCTAGTTGAGATATGACTTCCTCCTGCTCATTCTCAGTCCATGGAATAGCTTCTAAATATTCGAGACACGACTCAACTCCAAGGTCAAACATTATAGCTGCCCATACCTACACTTGAAGGTAAGTCACAAAAATATGAAAATAAATAACAAATCCCAAAAGACAAAGCAATAAACATCAAGGAAGCACTAATGTGGTTATAGATAAGATTTGAAAGTGTATAAATTTTCCTCAATGAGCACGCTACACGGGGATAGTATGCATCATTAACACTACAGTTAAGAATGTGTGGATAACTACACCAAAAGGACTAATTAAGCACATAATGTTGTTAATCATGATATGGGATGTGGACAAACTAAGCACCAAACACTACATAACAACAGCATTAATCACTCCATAACATAACTAACCACAATATAAATTATGACAAGGCAAGTTGATGCATTCTTTTGGAAGAGTTTTTACGGTCTACTTATCCATCATATAAACACTTATACACCAAAAATTGAAGGTGTTTGCTTAAGCTAACGAAAATGACTAACAACAAATCTATAAGCTCCTTTTAACCTAAGTTTCATAGTGAAGCTTATCCAAATAAGCTTATAGAACTTAGCCTTATGACATAAGCTCTTACATGATAATCACTTTGGCCTAGTTTGTTGGATTAGCTTTTTACCTTATAGGAAACTTTTGGTTGAGAAAAGGATTTAATTCCTTACGTACAAAAAAAACCTTTGTAAGTATATAAATATATAAAGATAAGTTAAACTTCTTAAAATATTAGTGTATAAGTTAATTTTAAAATTAAATATATAAAATGACAGATTAAGGTATTCAATGTATTAATTATTTATTTATTATAATAAATATCATATAATTCAACAAACTGAAAATCTTTGGGAACATACCTTGAGCAAGCTCAAAATTTTAGAAACCCCTTCACCCATTGACCTCAACCTTCTCTTGAGATCCTCAGAGTGCATCAAAACGACAGCTTCCACATACACTTCCACGTCGTCGCAGTCACTGATCTCGACGGAGTGCAAAAGCCCATTCTCACAACGAAGCTTCTCCGCGAAGAAGCGACTCTTGTCGGCGAGAACGCTCTTCTGCACTTCCATAGAAACCTTGAAACCGTCCCTCCCAACAACGGTAACCCTGACATCACCGCCACCGTGGAACGGCGCTTCTTCGAGAAGCTTGGAGAGGCGATCTTGCATTTTGCGGCGGTTGTCGTCGGAGAATTTGGGGTGGCGGTCGGACATCATATCGAAGAGTGTCTGAGTGTGAGTGGGGCGAGTGAGAGGGGGTGGAGATGAAGAGAAGGTTCTAGAAGGTGAGAAAGAGAGCGTGGGGTCTGCTATGAAACCTTGCTTTATCATTGTTGATACCTCTCTGGATTTCAATGCACTCTCTCCACCCATTGAAGATAAACAATTATATGTACTGTGTGCTACACCGAGTTTAACTAATTAGAGTCGAAGTTTGGGAATGCAAATTTTCCCAGAAAATGAGTCACATTCATAGACATTAAAGAGAGAGAGAGAGAGAATCCGAGAGAGAAGAGAGTATGATCTGAATAATAATAATAATAATAATAATGAAAGAAACCAAACAAAAAAACAACTGTGTGTGTGTTAGGAAAAGGGGGTGATGGAGATTATTACTGCCATGTGCATACACCTGCCTCGCGTTAGGATTCCTTTGAGCCCAAAATTCTTGCATTTATTATTTAATGGTTTATCTTATTTTTATATATTTTTTATTTTTTAAAATTTTCAAAAATAAAATAAATAACAGAGTTAAATTTTATTCTATTTTTGTCTCTCCCTCTCCATAGATCCATACTCCCTCCCTTTCCTACTTCACTAAACTTATCTCATTCTCATTTAACAAATGCTTCATTCTTTACCAACAAAAGTTAATTAATTATTTCTGGTCTTTTATTTTTATTCAATTATATAAAAGTTACTCAATTTATAATATCTTTATGCTTATCATATTTGCAATATTTCTTTTTTACTTTTAACACTTATAAATATTATAATTTTTAAATTTGATAAATTTGATCTATTCAATAAAATGTATAGTTTGAAATTTAAATTTTGCAACTCAAATTAAATTTAGACTTTTATATCTAATTCTAAGCTAAACTCATAAAAAGTCTCAAAAAAGATAATTTTTACTAGTCTGAGCATTCCTTTAACCAGACCAAATTATTATTATTATTTTACTTAATTCACAAAAGTTTGTTAAGATATATAACTTGTTTTGAAAGCTCTAATTTTATTAATAAAAAGTTTCGCTGAATTAAATAAATAAGTATTTATAAATTACTATTAATTTTTATTTTTATTCAGTGCAAATCTTTAAAGGATAGAATGAACAATAATTTTATTATAGACATTCAGTTGCTATATGATACATTTACATTTGATTAATTAAATTTAAATTAAGATTATTTTAAAATAATTTTGAAATCATGATTCTTAATTCAATTTAAACAACTCTATCAATAGATTTATGCATTAGTGATACCAATAATTTATTTAAATATTTTATTTATAACTTTTTGATAAAAATAAATAAATTTCTTAAAGAGGCTAACAGAAGAGCTATAGATTTTTTTAATGTATATTTATTAATATAATCCATAACTTCTTATAATATGAGGAAGAGATTCTTAAGTAAACTTAGGTTTTCCAGACTGTAAGACATTAATATATATTTATTATGCTTTATTTGGATAATAAAAAAAAAGATAGAATGAAATAAGAGGAAAAAAAAAATTAGATAAGTGAAAGAATAAAGTAAAAAAGTAAAATATATGTATAAAAAAGATAAATTATTAAAATTTCTCTATATATAAGGAGAGAAATTTGTTAAATGAAAGAAGTTTACTCTATTTTTGTTCTCTTTGTTCTTTTCCATTTATTTTTCACCAAACGCATTAGTTTGTTTAAAGAATTAACGAGGAATTACGTTTAAACTTTAAAGAAGACCTCAATTTTCTTTATTAAAAAATAAAAGTTTGTTCCTTGCTATTTTAATTTTCCTTTTGGTTGATATTCGAGTGTAAAGGAATAAAAGATGACATAATTACGTCCTCGTTATTATATTATAATTAGTTTTGTTCAGTCTCATGTGGATTCGTACAAAAGTTCTGCAATGTTACGACTTAGGAGTACTTTGGAGGTCACTGCCAATTTCAAAGTGCTTTGTACAGTGGACCCAACCATGGTGGGAACTTGAAGATGACCCCAAAACAATATCACTTTCCTTTCATCTCTTTCTGTATATACTGAAAGATTATCGTAAAAGATAGAACAACATCATGGGTAATAGATAATATAATGTCATAATCTTTCTTTTCATTTTACCGAACCAAATTACAGAGATCATCAATGAAAATTGGAATTACTTATTATGTGTCCGTAAATATATTATATAAAAATGTTAAATATATTTTTAGTTTATATAATATAAGAATATGAGAGTTTTGTCATTCAGAATACCTGTTCGATTCAAATAAAATTGTCTTTGATGAAGAATATTTATAGTCTAAAAAAATATTTTTAACTTTTTTTACTGTGATCCTTCTAGAATTTTGGTTTTTTAATTAGATAACTGGAATTTTTGTAATATTCGTTTCATGTAATTTCTTATTAACATCATCTTGTATAATTTTTCTTTAAATTATTATGTTTCACGAATCCAAATATAACTTTAACAGTGAATAATAATATTGAAAGTAAATATTATACCTTTTACGAAGATGAATTTCTTTTCTGGTCAAAGCATAATTGGATTGGAAACCAAAGGCAGAACATCTTTGTCTTTGACGAACATAATGAATTGAAACTCCGAAGTCGAATAGTTTCTCACTGATATTGTGGTTTATATCTAGCAGCAATTTTAATTTAAGTGGAAAAAGAAATTAAAATTATCAAGCACAAAAAAGAGAAATTAAAATTACCATGCAGTTACTTTCAGACCTTATCGTGATATGGATAGAAAAAAGAAAAAGAAAAAGAGAGAGTAAAATACCCACTTCACAAGTCAACGGAGACAGATTTGGCTAGGAAAAGCCATTGCATCGATCTATCACAAAAGAACAAAGAATATTTTAAAAAATAGTTCCAGTAAAAGGTAGATATTTATTACACTTCCCTTTTGGATAGGCTAAGCTAAGCTAAAGTAAAAGAGATTTCATATTTAATCAATAAAAATATACAATATATTTTTAATTTTTTTTTTTTATCATATCATTCGTCTTTTCTTATCTATATAAATTATTGTATATATTTATTGAATGAATATAGTTTCTCAAATGAGTCTGAATTCTAATATTTTCACTCAAAATTCTGTGGTTACGAAATTTGGTCTATATTTATATAATATATTTATTATATTTTATAATTAGAATTTAAATTATTTTTAAATAATGTTTAAAAAAATTGGTTGCGATAATTTATAAATAGAAATTAAATTGTCTTTGAATATTTTTTTCAATTGAGTTATATACTATATTTTTAGTCAACATCTTTTTATAATTATTTTATTAATGTCAATATTATAACAGTTTTCAGATCTTATTAGTTGGTCAAACAAATGTATTATAGGAAATCAAATTCAAATTAAATAAAAATATATAATAGTCTTAATTCTAATATTCAAGTACTCAAAAGAATAAGAAAACGTTTGTCCTTCACCTGGGTATTTTCTTCCTCCCTTAATCCCTTATATGATTGATCACTTCTCTTCCCTTTTGTTGAGTGCATTGCATATAGTTCTCTTAGGTTGAAGTATCACTTTTACTCAAGAAATATTTATGGGAAGACAGGTAAAAGGGGTGAAAAGAAACCGGTGAACCAAAAAATGAAAATAAGGGAAATAGAAAAGTAAAAAACTCTTTTTAAAAACTAAAAAATTTTAATTTTTAAAAAGAGAAAACTTTTTTTAAAAATGCAAACAAACATACTCCAAATTCTTTATTCTTCAATTATGATTGAAAGCATTTGTAAACATATTTGGATATGTGCAACTAGAATAGAAAAAAGACCAACTTGCATGTTAATATGATATATAGTTTTTATACATAAGCATAGAAAAAGAATGTTAGCGTGAGAGAGAGAATATGTAAATGTAAAATTTAATCTGAGATCTACTGGGTGTTAACGAGGGTATGCATCTCATTAAAAATGATAGCTTACAGATATTATTTTCCAAGATATGCCAAATTAGAATTATTTGGATATGATTATGCACACTATTTGGGTTGTTATAACTTGATTCCTTTGTTATTAATGTGATTTTATGTATTGAACTTTTAGCAATTAATCGTCCCAATTCTCCGCTTATCATTGTTTAAATAGCTTTAATTAAGTGATTAATCCATATTTAATAATCTGATAAAAAAAACCATATCTGTGGAAACAATACCCTTTTTCATCACTTATTCAACAGCGAATATGCATGATGTGATGCCATGATTAACGATTAAGGAGCCAAACATAGAGAAAAGAGAAGTAGCTTAATTAAACATGTTAAGACAGGCCAATAAATGATATGTTATATGTTGGGTATGGTCATGTGGTGGAAACAATGAGGCGATGACATCCAACGACATCGCAATAAACCAGGCAGATTTAAGGAAAGGGACAACGCAAACACGCAATAAATTAAGAAAAGATTTACACATCACTCATTAAATCAGAAACATCATAGTATTCATAAATTACAACGTAACATGCTACGCTATCAAACTTGGATTGCTTAACTTGGTTACCACCTTTACTCAAGAACGCTAATAACATCACTGTAACATTCCTGAGGTAGAAATAACTTCATCCTTTAACCTGCATATAGTAGACAATAATTTAGCTAGTCATCAAAACTGTGTATGTATAGCATCAAATGGGAGTATGAGAGGTGTGAGGAGAGAGATATTTGAAAGAGTTTAGGAATATAATTTATATTTTTATAAGTTTTGTTTAACTTATTTTTTTGTATAATTTATTAAAATAATTTTTTTTAACTTATATCAATAAGATTCACAATTAAATTTATGATGATTTCATATATAATAATCTTTTTTAAATAATGGCTTATGTCATAAACTTAACCATGAAATTTAATAAAATAAATTAAAACTAATAAGAGTTATATGTTATTTCCATAACTTGTTCATAAATAGACTATAAGAACTTATTAAAAAAAACGCATTTAATTAAATTTATTAAAATAAGTTCAATTTAACTTACCAATAAGTTTCGGAATCAAGTTTATGATAATAAGAAATATTAAATAAACTGTTTAGATTAAGCTATTTCATAAAAGCAACCTATGTAACTACACCTGAGATTGGATAAAGGTTTAATTAATCTCCTATGTAAAAGCACCTTATATATAACTATAACTAAGATTAACTATTCTCACACACTCATGCTTTCACCTAATATGCTCATGTAAATGGATTATAGAGACCTTTTAGAAGACGCTCATCTCCTCTTCCACATGATCATCAGGTTTTGCTTCTTTTTCTTCTTCAGTTGTCCCAAAGAGAGGAGCATCAAGCTCAGGAGGTTTCTGGTAAGACATGAATGTTTTACCAATCAATCATGCGATGACAATTTGAAGTAGATGATGAAAGAAAACATAGTATATAGCAATGGTTCACTCATGTTACCGTGCAACGAACTAGGGCCCAATTGACACCCCGAAAGAAAGGGTGATGCTTAATTTCATTTGCTCCTTCTCTTGATCCCAATCTGCTTTTGGGGTCTCTATTCAACAATCGGTACATTAATTGCTTTGCGCTGAAACTTACCTACATCATGAATTTATCTTGTTCATTTACGTATTGATGAATTCAAAATTTGGAGGTTTTATGTAATTCTGCATGATGTGATTTTGATAATATTTCACGTGAAAGTTCAAATTTCTTAGTTCTTACAACGAAGCATATTGTTATATTACTTTGCAATATAGCCTAAAGGCAAATTTGGTAGATAACTATTGAGTGAGTATTCCTTGAACATGAATACATGATTATCCATGCAATGTCAAATTATTTGCATTCTTAAAATGCGTCTTAATATCAAATGAAAATGAGTAGGCAAGGTTTTTCATCTATGGAGATAAACTGAAGAAATCCTGTAATATTTGTATATTAAAGTTAAACACTTACACTATTTAATATATAAAATATGAAATTAATTAATTTAACTGTTAATTTAAAAGTTCTTATTAAATAGATTAATTTTACAAAATTTTATATAAAATAAAATAAATAATTATTTTTATAGTATTACTTTATTTTGACAGATAATATACTTTTAAAATATAAGAAAATATAAAATTTTAGATAACGTATACGTATATATCCAAATAATGTGAAATTTAATATAAATAATCATAAAAATAAAATTTAAAAGTTCAATCTTACATATTATAAAAAATTATTAAATAATATAAGTGTCTTACTTTTTATACTGAACCGTGACCCTTGCGCATTAATCCAAATTTGACATCCTGACTTATATTATTTCAATTCTCTTTTACATTTTGATTTTGAATTTTCAAGAAAAAAGCTATATAAAAGTTCTACTGGGAATAGGTATATTCAAACTCTGGTGACAGTATAGGAGAACCTACGAGACACCAGGGTATATGTTCTAAGCATCAAATACGAACATTAAGTTGCATTAGGTTGTGCAGAAAAGTCTCACCTGTTTACTTTTGGGAAATTTAAGGTCCTTGTGGAGAATATTTGTAAATGTTCTTTGCCTTGTCTTTCCCCTGAATGGTGTATACCCATAAAACATTTCATATAGAAGAATTCCTGGAAAAAAGTAATACTCGCAGTCAAAGTATGTTTTTAAGTATATCCGTTCTAATCAGAGTTTAGTCTTTTATGTTCTAGTGACCAATGGGTTAGGACTCGGGTAGTGATTTCAATTAATGGCAATCCTTACCATGAGAAAAATGCAATGAGGATGAGAGATAAATGTTCGTCTTCAGCATTTCGAAAGCCTTTTTTATTACATATTGAAGACAATAAGTTCAATTTATAGTAGAATATTATAGGCTGCAAAGACAGGTAGAATTCTATTGGCCGATTCAACTAAGGCAAAAGTTTTTACTGACACAACATCTAACTTTTTCAATTTGTCATAAATATAGAATGCATTCAAATTTTCTTTTCAAATTGTTGAGTAGTTTAATATTAATTTATTTGTATAATAGCCTTTATATAGTAAAAAAATTAAAAATTACCAAGAGCCCACCAATCCACAGCACTTGTATGGCCTGAACCCGTTATAATTTCCTACACAAGCATTGAATTGTCAATTATAACAAATTCTGAGAAATGCATAAAAAAATTCAAATAAGTATAATTAACATGATTGTAATAATCTGTATGTCCACCAGGATCACACACGCAGCCCTTCGAATGAAAAAGAAATAAAAAGGTGCCTTAAGTTATACTCTCCATATTGGATTCTCCTTAGCTCCATTAAGTGTAAAGACTTTAATACAGAACTTGTTATACTTAATAGGTTCTAAGCTCTAACGGGTTCAACTTGATCTTTCAAATTATAGAGAGAAACATATCAACTATATCAGGAATGCTTCCATATGAGTTTGGTGTCCAGAAATTATTTGCTACTCAATAATAACAAGTCCGAAACAACAAACCGGAGCTATGTACTCTTCTGTGCCCACAAAAGAATTTGATGCTCTCATAGGTTCAGCCATAAATATTGGAGCCTGTTGGAATTTCGGTGGTTTCTTCTTTTCATTTATTACTGGAACTAGAAGCTGTAAAGAGTGCAATCAGATATATACAGAATTGTCTCAGTAGAGTTAAAAAGTATAACTTCTAAATAAAATCTTCATGATCTGAACTTCTTGTCTCTAAGGTACCTGTGGTTTGCAAGATGTTAAACATGACAAATCAAAATCTGTTAGAGACACGTGTCCACTGCTTTGGAGTAACACATTTTCTGGCTTCAAATCTCGATATATTATCCCTGCAAATTCTCATCCAACAATATTATTATATTAGATGTTTGGGTGACACGTAAATAAAATATTTATGACAAGATTTCTTGTTAGGACAGAATTTCACAATAATAAAGGATCCTATAATGCTATCAGGTCAATTTATAACATCTGATAATTTTTAAGAAAATATCACTGTTGCTTCCTGGTATATTCAATAAGAGGTTTGCATGGATTTTATCAATTAAACACTTCCTAAGTCGAAAAGGTAGCAAGATTGATTATCATTACTAACAATTATTGTCGTTATGTTATGTCATATGGGTGATGAATAGGAACTTACCTTGACAATGAAGGTACTCCAAGGCAACAACTACTTCAGCAGCATAAAATCTATCATTGTCAAGTACAATATGTCAGTAAAAGAAAGGTAGAGAAACTCAAGTAACTGACACTATTGAAAGAAAGAGCATCTATTTAAATCTATTAGAAGAACATATATGATGTATTTTACATGCATAAGGTGAAGATTGAAGAAAGGCGGGGTATAGATTAAATAATGTATGCAAATAAAACTGCTTCGAAGCATAAGAGTGAGAACAGTCAAAATGATTGAAGAAAGATTGATGTTGAATAAAAATATTCATAAAAAAGTGAATGCATTGGGACTCAATTTACTATGATTGACATAGAAGACTTGAGGCTGATATTTTCCGTTATAAACGTACAAGAAGACAATTTAGCATTTACAACCCACCTCACCTAGAGGGATAAGGCTTAGTTGTTGTAAAAATAAAAGATAAAACTTGTCATTGTTTTCTAACCTCCACCTTCTACCAATTTTGAGGAAACTTGTGATATATTTGCATATATTCTTTGCGTAGTAGTATAATATACCTTACTGCATCTTCCCTCAGAACCTTAGCTGGTTGTCGATCAAGAAGCAGGAATAGTTCTCCACCAGGACAATAATCAGTTATCAAACAGATATGTGTATTGGTCTGCAAATTAATCAAGTTTATAAAAAAATTACAAATTCATTTTATAGTATGTAAAGTAGCAATGTAAGCAACGCTTGTTATGTTATAACTTCTGAATTAAATGAATTAGGAAATAAAGGCATCAATGTACGACAAATACACAGAATATTATCTGTGTAATCATCTTCAGTGAAAGAAAGGGTGTATGTTAAAGGGCTAGTGAGTTGTGATTTTGACATATTTGCACTTTATATTCATAGCCTTGCAGAGAGTGATCATTTTATCAAGTAATCATAAAGATCTTGACGTTATATTCATAGCTATCTTACTTTCAAGAGTACTTGAGTTTCAAACCTGAAAGGAAGCATATAATGCAGGAAGAAAAGGGTGGTCCAACATGTCGAGGATCTCTCTCTCTGTGCAAGCTCTATGCACCTGTAGTTAAAGTTATTGTTAGAAGTGAACGAATAGGATAAATTTTGACTTGAAATAAGTATGAAAATTAAAATATGTTACTGAAAGGCTAAGAAAATGAAGCCAATCCAGTATTGAACAACTTCCATGTAAACATTTTGTAAAACTATTGATGGTAGAGGTGACAAGAAAAAGAAATTATCAATTGAGTATATTGTGTACCTTATTACGATTGAGCATAACACCCTTCTCCATAGCTTTCATGGCAAAATATTGACCAGTTTCGCCTAGCTCCACCAGATAGACACTGAAGGCCAGTAAACAGGTGATATAATACATTGCCACAGAAACTTGATTGGAAAAAATAGTGAAAGGAAACAACTTTACATCACCCAAATCAATGAATAAATTCTAAATAAGGTTTTAGAATTTCAGCTAGTTTTCAGCTAAACTACGGAGTAATTCATCTACACGACTACAAGTCTCTAATATTTGCTGAAATTCCGTGTAGAAAGGTTAGACTTACTAATTAATGAAATCATTTATAAAAAAAATTGGAATCTTGGACTTATCCAGTATGTGCTATTGCTTGAAGCAAGGAAATCAATTTAAAAAAAGCTGAAATCCACCGTGCTGAGATGGATTGAACATACTATGAATGTATAGTTTCAGGTTTTGATTCTTAGATCCCATGATAGTTATTAGTTTTGAGAATATCACATTATACGATCACAATTTGTTTCACTTAGCAATTAATTTAACCCTCGTGCCACTTGTTCAAGCACATTTGAAATGTTGGACAGTTGAAAAGAGAAGCAGGGAAAAAACCTGCCAGTATCTCCTGATCCCAGAGGTTTAATTGGCCTAAAATGCTTCAAGCCTATCTCTTCTCCACTATCTAGGATCTGCAAAAAAAACCATGGTCACATTATAAATTTGCAAAAAGTAACTTACATTAGATGTTCAAAAAGTGACTGGGAAGAAGATTCAAATTATAACAACCTTATATAAGAGAGAAGGCTATTTGATGTCTTATTTACTAATTCAAATAATCTTGAATAGATAACATAATTAAAAAAACGATAATTTCCGAAATAATCTAACAAGAGTTAAGAAAAAATTAGACAAGAAATGGAAGCCAGCGCAAAAAATAATACCGTCTGAATAGCTTTCCAGGCGGCTTCATCCTTCCTGTGGGGTTTGGGGTGAACCACTTTTGAATGATTTTTCCATAAATCTTCTGGTTTCTAAAGATAGCCAAAAGATTATGAGAAAAATTGAATGCAATAAGCTTTTCAGTGGATAAAGATAATTAGAAGCTCTGGAGATATTACCAAATTAGCATCTGGAAGTTCTCTCACTGCATCATCAACATTTTCAGCAGTTTTTTTCACCTGAGAATATATGAAATATTGTTAGAACTTGGAAAATACAAAGCATAATACATAGAACAAAGTTTCTAATTATTCTATTCTATATTATATATATATAATACCAACAAAGTATATTCAAAACTTTCTTTTTGGTCATAATATAGGCAAAGTAGTTTAATCGGGAAACAGGCTCTTATAGACTGTCAAATTCAAAGCCTCTATCTGGATATGTAGTGATGTTGAACCCAAATCCAGATTTCCATGTATGATAAAATAATGAAGCACTTGGATAGAAACCAAACCAATTGTTCTCCCTCCTTTGCAGTATCATCAGCAATGCGGTTGTGAAGAGGCTCCACGTGTTGACTACCATCAAGTTGAACTCCAATGAAATACTGTACCTCTCCCTGTTAAACAAAGAAGGAAAAAAGAGAAACAAGCTAAGCATAGTTTCTTTTTGAAGTTTTGGTAAACGGGATATGATTAACTACAAAAAACAGAAGTCACACAGTAAGACATTAGATATACAACACCTTCAGAGAGGACTATCAAAAACTGTACCTTCTGATCACGCATAGGTTGCAAATGAAACAAATTCCAGAACTTTTTACCTGAATTGAGAAGAAAAATATTCAATAGTAAGTTCAATAATATTAGCAACCTTATTGAGCTTTATGTCGTTATATAGTTATTTTGTTTTCATTTGCTAACTATAAGATGGATTCGTTATATGAAAACAAGGATATATGTGAAAATATAGACTTTTTTTTTATTTATAGAACAAATAAGCTTACCACTCTTTGTATAATTAATGAGCTGCACGGTAACTTCTCTTTGATTGTCAATAGCTTCTCTAATTTTTCTCACGGTTGCTGGATCAGTTTCAGGTCCTTGCAGAAACCTATATCACCACATATCATATAAATAAATACCACGGATTTTTACATTATACACAAACAACTTCTAGATCATTTCCCGGTATATCAATCTTCGAAATTTTCAGGAAGGAAATTAAATTTTGTATTTCTGGCTTCCATCAGGCATTAGTAACTTGTCATACAAATAATATTTTTGTATTTTGCTTTATATGTATTCTTTATGCTACAATCACATTGATCCTTCATGGAAGCATTCATACTCCAATAAATGAAGCTTGAGGTAAAGCTGGAAATGCCAATTTACAATGCTGTATTTAATATCAATTTCAGTTGGTATACATGAACCAAATATTTTGATATTCATTTTAATGGTTATGATATATTAAAGCATACCTGCAATTTCTTCCCAAGATTTCTTCACGACTATACTCAGTAAGCTCTAAGAAGCTATCAGATGCAAAGATCTGAACAACCAAATAAAAATTTACCATCTTAAGTTCGTCTCCATTAAACTAATCCTATATAGAAATTCAAAACTTTTTGTTGCAACATAAATGATATAAAAAACCAATCTTACAATTGGGTTGTCAGGTAGCCTAGGATCAGTAATGACAAAATTCTTCTCAATACGTTCGAGTGTGGTAGCAAGATCAAGACCCTTTCTCTTTTCCTTCTTCTGTAATTTTCCATCAAAACTCTCAGGCCTTTCATCATCCTCATCACTACTCTCAGAGCTGTCCTCAGCACCAGCTTCGTCATTGAAGCTTTCATAGCTGGACTGACTTTTCCTGATGAACCTAAAGCATAAATATATAGAAATTAGAAAGATAGAGTACATTGAAATATAATATCACATATATATTACGTATTATTCAATAATAAAACTTGATCTCAAAAATTAGTTTAAGGAAAAGAAAGAAAAAAAAAAAACATTTGTTGAGATGATCATAATCAACCTCATGAAAGAAAACTAGTATTTCTCCTTTTAAAAATAGTTCAAAATCTAGTTTTCCTTCTTGGCTATAACTAAAGTAAGTAATTAACCATACCCCATGAAAGAACGGCGACGAGAGTTTTTGTGTTTCTTTTCATTTTCAGGTTGCTCAGTGATTCTTTGCATTGAACTTTTGTAATCTCCTGCATGTGATTTTCTTCTAAATGAAGTAACACTCTCGGATTTTCTCCTTGAAGAGTTTTGTGTTTTGACTTGTGCATCATCACTAGATGCTGGCTTCTTGATCGTGGGACGGTTTGCTGATTCACTCAGTGCCCGGGGTCGCCTCACCGCATGCACCAACTCAAATACTGAACTATTTGCTTTCTCTTTCTGACGAGCTGCATGAGAAATATGCAACCTTTTTGGATTAGACTTGCGTTGTTAAACTTCTGTTGAATCTTTATCATTCGAGTGTAAACCAATTCCCATGTTCATTTAAACTAGTACTACATCGGGTCTTTACCATTGCCATGTTTAAGTACACTTATAATTATTATTAGAAAACAACGGTTGATGTTGTAACTAGCTTCAAAATTATATACTAATAATGTCCAAGGGCAAGATTAGTTTTTAGTTTATGTGAGTTTTTAATTTTCAAATTTTATTATTCAGACTTATTTGTGATAAAAATTCTTAATTTTGCTAAGTTTGTATGTATTTAATCATGGAGAAGTTAGATAAGTAATTTTCTGAAAAATTGAGGTATTATGAATGAAATTTAATTTACATTAGCAATTTAATTTATTTTATGTTCTTAATTTTTTTTTATCTTATAAGTATTTGTTAAAAAAGTTATCTAAATTAATTCTAAGTATAGTTGGTGGGTCACTTGTAACGTTTATTAAAAGGTTTATATTGTAATATTAATTGTTGTAAAAAAGTTAAAAGAATGCAAGTAACTTGACAATTAGTTAGGAATATAAAATTTTATCATACCTTAACAGTATTACTATTAATTTAATACTTTTTTTTTTTATTAACGTTGTCGTAATTCTTTTAATTCCATGCAAAGATAAACCTAGTAAAGTCTGTCTACGTTTCACGTGACTGTGCCATTATTGAACACACAAATTCGTGAAGATATATTATTCCTTGATGTAATACGATTATCAATGATTAATTTGTTAATTGTATATCTAATTTAATAATTTAAAATAATTTTATTTTTTTAATGTGTTTATTTATTTATTTATTTAATCATTTATTTTGTTGCATTATTTGAGGTTGCATAATAATTTTACCATCATATCGAATCAAGGATTCGGGCAATCCATTGGGACGTAGCATCTTCTCCTTGGACCCCTCTGTGTGCTTGCTAACTTCCACTTGCATTCTGCCACCATCTCACATTTCCATACATAGAAAAGACTTGTCATAAGCTTAAAATAGTGCCTAAAAGAAATACTAATAATGTATTTTTTATTGTTAAATAAATTTTATGTGAGTGTTTTTTATTAAAAAAATATTGGGCATCTTTTCTTTTAAGTATGATTCACTTAAAATTTACTTAATATAAAAAAATATTTTAAAAAAATGTTATTTATACCTCCTATTAAAATGTATCTCTTTTAAAAGGAGGAATTCATTATAAGAAAAATCATGATGCTTATTAACTAAAATAATAATAATTAAAATTATATATGATATCAAATATCACTCATTTACATTTTAATTATTTGTTGTAATTTACAAATTTGTTGACTTGAAAAGATTAAAAACGAAAGTTCTTATTTTTTTACAGTAATTTTTTATTTTCTCCTTTTTATTGCGTCATTAATTATATTTTTCCTTTTTTTCTCCCTTCCAATTCCAATCACTCATTTTATACTACAATAAATGTGTCAACAAATAATTTTCCAAATACGAGCTTTAGGAGACTCAATATGTTTTTGGCGAACGAGACTCAAATCTTTTTATCATACAATTGGGTACATCAAGACCCACATCCAATCAATGCCCTTTTTTTTTAATTGTGTTTGTCAACTTCAAGCAATCAATGTGATGTGATGAATGATTCAGTCTGAAGAAACAGTGACAAAGATCTAAAGACATCATCCATTCCATTGGGCCTAAAATAGAAGTGTTTCTACTTTCAAGACACCTCCGTGGTCTAAAATGAGATACATAAATAAATATACGATGAAATAGAAAAACTAAATATATAGTGCATCATTAAAGCATTTACAAATTAAAATTATCTAAAATATTTTTAAAAAAAATATTTTAACTATTTCACGAGGAAGAAAGAAAGAAACCATATGTTTTCTGGGTATATATAATTGACTTCTCTTACCATACACTGATGATCTCATAACGAGATTCAACTGGATCACTCTATTATAGAGAGAAATAAGAAAGTACACGATGAATTATATAAAAATTTTACTAATTAAATTTAACAAGAGTATATGAATCAATTTAGACAAATTTATAATAAATATGTAACTTTTACAACAAACACTAATATTAATTTATAAAAGCAATTATTTCTCCCCCTTACAAGGATTTATCTAAACGGAATCTATATTTTGAAACAAAATAATTGACATAACAGAGTGCTATTTGTCATTTATAAAAGAAAACGATACTAAAGAGAGTGGTCAATTTAATAAAGGTGATCCAGCAGGGCCATCTTATCTTAGAATTTGCAAGACAGATTGTGAACAATGACCAAACTAATGAAGAGTCAATTAGTTGTCACTATAAGGTCCCAACCATGGCATAAACCCAGAATAATGACAACAATAATAGAAAAAGTAAAGTATGGTAGAATCTAATTATGATTAAAGTAGCACAAAAAACATAAGTGGTAAATAAGAAAAACATACCCAATAAACTTGAGAATTCTGCCATCATCACCCTTAATAGGAGCAATAGTAAGAAGGTTCCAAAAGGGAGTACCATCTTTCTTGTAATTCAGTAACCTTCCACAATAAGTAGACCCAGTTTGCAGTGATTCCCTTATCTTTGCCACGTCATCCGGATCCGTTTCTGCTCCCTGTAAAAACCGACTGCACCCGCCCCGACCCGACCCGTTTTGTAATTTCTTATTCACCTTTTCTTGTTACAGTCAAAATTACTCTACCAGTACCATATTTGTTCTTGATATGAGTTGAATTATTCTAAAGAGTAAATTATACCATTTCTTTGTATCTGTGATTCTGACATTTTTTTAAGATTTTATTTTGATAGATTGTGTATAAATTATCTATATTGCCAAATCAAATAAACTCTTAAATTATTTCTTGAAATTATAAGATTTGAGTATTTTAATTTGTGAATTTTAAAAAAATTAGTTTGAAAACTTGTAAATACATTCATTTTAATTTTTTTTAGTAAAATATAACAGTGAAAAAATAATTTTTTAAGAGTATGAGACTATTAAAAGTTTTTAAAATTTCTAAAAACAAAATACTCAATTCTTATAATCTTGAGAACTAACTTAAATGTTTGGTAAGTTAAATTATTTAAATGATTATCTTTATAATTTTTAATAAACTGAATTATTATGTAAAAAAATATGCATAACACAATTTCTTAATAATTTCTATTAATATATTTTTTATTATTAGTTGAATTTTATTAAAAATTATAAGATTATGTAATTTTTATTTTTAATTTAATAAATTTCACCTATAATTTTGTAATTTTTAATAAATATTAATTAATAATAAAAATTACTTTAAAGAATATATTCTTAATACTCTTAAAAACGATATAGTTTAAGATAAAAAAAAATATTTGAGTAAACCTCTCAAAATTATGAGTTGAGTATTTTAATTTTGAAAATTTGTAAAAAAATATTTTAAGTCATTGATTTTAGTATTTGTTTGCTTAAATTTTTATTAGCATTTTGTATTGAAAATGAAAATAAACATAAATTTATAGATTTAAAACCCAATAGTTTTTGAAAAGTTGGAGTGATTAAAATATAATATTTAGGAAGAAGAGAAGTATTTACTGTGATAAAATGAGTATTAACGTACCAGTTCCTTCCAATGACCTCCTTGGATGTATAACCCGTCATCTTAAAAAACCCGGCACTCGCATACAAAATCGGGTAATCGGGTTTGGTAGCATCCGAAACCACGAAAGTCTGTTGAAACGTCGATAAAGCGTCTCTCAGATCCTCCGAAACCCTCGGAATTCCCCGGTACTCTCTTCCGTCATCGGAAGACTCGCCGGAGCTTCTCACAGAGTTGTTCGAATCCCTCCTCGAACCGCCACTAGCTCTCGCGTTTGGTTCCTCGCCGCCGGAGTTCCGAACCGCTACTCCCTGCGGCTTCCCCGTCTCCGTGTCCGTCTTCAGCACTAACCCCCACTCCGCCGCCCTCTGCGCCGCCGCACCAACCTCTCCGGTTGCCGGGCGAGACTCGCCGAGGATGGCAGCGAGCGTCGGCGGCGGAGGAGTTGGCTCCTTGAGTGCCATCCACGAAGTGGCGGCAGTGGCAGCGGCGACTTCATCGGTATTGCGCTGCTCCGGAGCCTCGGTGGCGCGTGAGTCTATCCAATTCTTCCACGTGGATTGGGAGCGTAAGGGCGAGTTCACGGGTTTCTCGGTGGAGTAAGAAGAAGAAGGGTTAAACACTTCGAGCGAGCCACGTTGGTCTCTTGAAAATGCCTCCATTTCCCTCACTTTCTGTTCATTCATATAATAAATGTGTTCATTAATATTTTCTTCAAAAATGGAAATTAATGATAAAATTACCGAATTACTACTAATTAATTATGAATAATAAAAGCCTGCCTTTTGTTGGTGAATCACTGGTGGGATGAGATTCAATTAAAACAATTTGATGTGTACTTTGGAACAAATCTCACGGCGGTGAAGTGTTTGTAATGGAAATGGCATTGACATGTGATTGGGACTAGTACAATGAATGATAAGTTGTTTGTTTGGGGCCTTTAGGGTCACTTCAAGTTTGTTCATTTGGATAATTTTTCAATTTTCAGGATAATTTTGTGGATTTGAGAATGGGGTATGGAGAAATGAGTGGTTGGAGATAGATATGTGTGTTTTTTGTCGGAGGGACTTAAAGGGGACACCAATTCAAGCACCAAAACTGAGACTGAGACCAAGTGTCTGTGTTGTTTCCTGATTTTATCAAAACAGTGGTGTCCGAGAGGGCCACACGTGATAGAAAATAATTTGGGATGACGGTAATCGATGGCATACGAAATTGAATGTTGGAGAATCCATGTGTCAATCGAACCACTTAATAAACTTGGCATGATTTGATTTATAAGCTGATAGGGCAACTGACATTGTACATGAAGAATTGGAAGAAAAGTTTATGAGTTACTGAATAAAGAATCAGCTTAGATATTTGTGTGTAAGTGATTGAAAATATGGCATAGTTTAATGCATGACCAGATTAGGAACTGAGTACCTCAAGTTGAGGAGTGCTGGATTAGGAATTCAGAAAATGGAAGCTGTGTGGGGTGTGGACTTGTGAAACTGCTTATGCTTCAATAAATTAGCACACAATATAAACCGTTGAGAATTGATTCCTAGAAGTGGGTTGCTTATAATGCATGAGGAGAACAAATGGAATAAAAAATATAGAGAAACTGTGAATAATTGTCCCAAAGGTTTGGGTTCCCATCCCTGTTGATGGAAATTTCACATGGGACATGGCTCTTGCACGCATCCCTATTAAGTCCAAGCTATTTATGCTACACTATAACATCTTCTCTGAGTTCACTTTGGAGTCCTAAAACATTTTGAGACAACAAAATTTTACTGTGCTAAGGAGCCAAACAATGACATCTTCTGTTGCCTTAGTCTTACCTTCAATGATTCCTTTGTGGTGTCAGTGCCTAAATGACAGTCTGGAAAAGTGGGTTGTCAAGAAAGAAAAGCAACAAGAACACAGAACATGTACATCTTCATAATCTCTTCAACCACGTTCATCTCTGCAGGCTGTACCCTCCATTTGTTCCCAGTACAGCACTGTTGATGTTTGGTTTTCTATGTGAAAGGAGGTGGACTTATAGCCGAGGACAAAAGCAAAATCAGACAATCAAAAATGGCAAATATCTCACTCACTTTTTTTGGCTATGGAAAAACAGAGAGAATATTAAAATACCCATTAACCATCTAGCACAACAAGATTAATTCTTGCCTATCTTGGAAAATAGGAGCTTGCTTAAAAGGCATGGCCACAAAGATAAGCCTAAGATGTGGACGCTTGAGACCATGTTTGTAGATGCTGGGCAATGCACCACCACAAATAATCCTATAGATTCAGTTTAGTGTATAATTTTCCCATAGAAGTTGGGTGCATATAGTGATTGATGTTTACATATTTGATGTGGTTGCCTTGTGAGTGCTACAATGACTGAAAGCTAAGTAGTTCTTTGATCCACTTGTCCAACTTCGTGATGTGAAGGAACAAGGACACCTAGGATAAGTCTTCTGTTGTTGCTTAAATATCAACCATTCACAAATATTACCCCGAATATTGCAAGAACTAAATTCTAGAAAAAAAGAAAAGAAAAAAGCCAAACAGGAATATATATAATTGAGTTTATATTAAGTCAACACTGTCCATTGCTTCTGCTTCTATCTACGATGGTTGGATGAGAAGAGATTTGAATAGTCATAAATCTCAATGATATTAACAACTCTTTGATGATACATTGAAACAAAATCACTTTAAATTAAAATTTTATTTGGAATGTAGGATTGAAACTTGTATGCCATACCATGCACCGGCCCGCAGTTACGAAATTGCCAACATAGATTTACAGTTGTGAAACAAATTGACAAAAGATATTTGGATAATGTTGCAAACCAAGTTTCCATGGTTCAACTTTTTTTCGGGCGACGGCGTAAACAAACATGAAGCTATGGCCATCGGAATTGATTTATTTTAACAACCCTCCCCCTTTCCAAAAGTAAATTAAAGATATCAATTTTCTCAAATTTTTGCAATTAATTTACGTAAGAAAAAACCCTATGAAATACCATCTTAATAAATTGTACTTAAAAAAGAACTTTTTGATAAATATTTAAAAATTACCATCGTCAATTTTGACTACATATGAGAATAGCTTAAAGAGTCATTGGAGGCCTAACATTAGGTTTGATGTTTGGCCCATTTCTTAAATAAACAAAGTCAAAGCTTTTTAAAAAAATATATGTTTGGTTCGAAAGTTAACCTTTATGTCATTTATAGAACATTTTATGCACGATGGATCAACCTATTTAATTATTGTTAGTTTCTTGGATTGTTATTGTCTTATATTGAAATTAAAAAATCATTAGCTTATTTAAAATTTCAAATATGTTGGTCTTAATAAAAATTTTGGTTTGTTATCGTATGTTTATGTCGGTTGGCCATCATATTTAGATGTAAATTTATTGGCTTATTAAAATTTTATTATAAAAATGTTTTTAAATGAAGGATTTTAAGCTAATTAGACTTTTAAAAAGTTTTTTCAAATCTTAAAATCTATTTATATTAAATAAATTAGTAAAATACAGGTTTATATTTTAAATGTAAAATCAAATTTGGCGTAGATTCACTCATTTTTCACCCTTTTGGTCCGATTTCTATTAAAAGTTATTATCAATAATTTCTTATTGTATTCGTAGACATGTGAGATTGTGAAAAATACATAAATAATGTAAATAATATATATGTAAAAAGTGTATCATATTAATTTGTTTATAATGAAGGAATGAAAATGCTAAGAAAGGGTGATAACTTGCTAAGCAAGACTTTGCCTATTTGTATATTATATTAAATATGAATCATGAAACACAGCTGATTAGAAATTAAAGCATATTTGTACTAGATTGCAATTCGAATGGAATACATTGATTTATTTAATTTTTGCAGTAGGGAATCACATGTAATAAGCAAATCAATGAGGCATTATTATGAATTGTTCTTAAACTAAGAGTTGGGGTAGAGGATAAGAACAAGTGCAAGACATTTTTAGATATGATAGATTAAAAAAAATAAAACAGCTTCATTCACGTCTGCGCGAAGCTGCAGCCTTTCTAATTCCAGTTTCCAATATAACATGAACCTGATTAAGGAATTATAATTTGTATTTTTTTTTTGTTATTTCAAAATTTAATATTTAAAATGTGTTTTATTTATCGCAAAAATTAAAATTTAAATATTATTTATAAATCAGCTTTAAACTACGCCGTCTTGAAGACTGCCCGTCATGCATGTTGAGTTGGTATACTTCCTTAGGACTAGGAGCATACCTCATTGTTCTGAAGCTTCGATATCCACCATCAAAAAATCATCACAACCCTTCTACCGTTGCTCTCACCTACTAATACCATGTCTATACACCAAGGCCAATTTCTCGCTCAAAATTCATTTTGTTTCAGCTTTTTTTACTTCAATTTTTTTTTTAGTATATTTATTTAAACTTCCTTTAGAAATAAAATTTATATTATTTTAGAAGGACTTTTTGAATAGTTTCTCAAAAGACTATAATTATAATTATTTTTAAAGAAAAAATATTTTTTATGATTATAATCATATTTTTATTGGTATAATTTTTCTACAAAATAAGTATATTTTGTACTTTCAAAAAATCACTTTTTAATAAAAAAAAATTGAACAGATAGACCTTCTCTCACATTTATTAAATATTTTTTTATTTTATAAATATATTTTAAAATTTTGATATTTGGCCTTCGTTACTACGGTAAAGAATCTCACGCACTTGTATTAATGTTGATAAATTTTGTGATATTTTTAAAATTTTTTAGAGTATTGTAAATAAAAAATTTTAATAAATATTATTTAGATATGTGTTTAAATAAAAAATTTATTTAATAATAAATTATTACATTTACTACATTTAAACAAGCTAAAAAATAGTTAAATCTTTAAATAGGACCGAAAAATAATTAAAATTAAACAAATTAAAATTTAAAAATAAAATAATAATATTATATTAATATATTTTTTATATTCTTAATTTTATTATTATTAGTATTTAATTACTTAAGCATTATATTAATATATTATGTTATAATTATTTTTATTTGTAATCAGAAATTATATTATATTCAAAACTAAAAATATTTATACATATATTTAAATAATAAATTTATTTAATAATAAATTATTATATTTATTATATTTAAATAAATTAAAGAACAATTAAATCTTTCCATAAGAACAAGACATAATCAATACTAAAAAAAATTAAAATTTAAAAATAAAATAATATTGTATTAATATATTATTTATATTATAAATTTTATTATTATTAATATATAAAACTATAATTATTTTTATTTATAATAAATAATTTTTTAAATATGAATTATATTTTATTCAAAATTAAAAATTTATAAAAAAATAATATATAATAATAATAATAATAATAATAATAATAATAATAATAATAATAAGATCCTATATCAAATAATATAAATAATATAATTTTAAATATATTATATATGATAATATATTTTAAATTTATTATGTTTTTCTTTTTTATTGATATAAATTTTTTAAGTATAGTACTTATAAAAAGGTATTAGGATATTAAAGTATACACCATTAATGTTTTTATTATTTTAAAGAATTATATATGATTAAAATTTATTTTTGAAAGTAGCAGAAGCCATAAATTTTATATCAAAACGCATGCGTGGTGACAAATCATCTATATTTTAATCGGAAAGAATGAACTAACCAGGTATGCAACACCCCCAAATAAGGGAAGGGGGAGGGGGGGTGGATGGGTGAATCCATTGTTGTAGGGAGAGAACAAGAGAAATAAAGATAGATTGAGATGAGACTGTGATGTAAAGTGACAAGTAAAAGAGTATAACCCCGTGTAGTGTGCTGATGAGGCCCCATAACCATGTGAACTGATTTTGGGACAATCATGTCATCTAGACTAGGTAACAGATAACTTCGATACTTGGAGCGGTTCTGTCCTAGCTTAGATCGCTTTCGAATTTTACCAGCTTCTTCGAAATTCTAATGGGTATTATATCATGTTCCAGGGGCTCCCCAGTACCCATTGCCATTGCTATGTTATAGCTTATCCCTCATTATCCTCCCAGCCTGTAATTGTTCCTCTTCATAATTGGTCTTTGGGTGTCGACAAGATCTCCACATTATTGTTCATTTTGATTCCAGTGGCACATGGCCCTAGATTAATTTCATCCACAAGGACAAAGAAACCAAGTTTGTTTGCGAATTTATACTAGTTTATTTTTAAGTTTTTTATAATTTTAAAGATACTTTTAAAGAAAATCAGAATTAATTACTTACCATACACGTTAGATAATCTTTTTATTTTGTTAGAGTACGTAACATTAATTTTAACCTTTAAATTGATCAGTGATTTCAACCATGTTAAATTCAATGATTACCTTTGACAAATTATGATTCACTTCTTTCAAATTTTGTTAGCACTAGTACTATAGCACTACTTCGGACGAAAAGGTCAAGAACCATTTTGTTTAAAGTCTTATCATCTTCTCGAAATTGGGCCTAAAATCTTTTTCTTAAAAATATAAAATTGAGTAACTTTTGTGGCATGAAATGAATGGTGTTTTGCTTTTCCAGTTGCTACCTACACTTTTTTTCTGGTCTGGTGATACCTATACTTGATCTTTTTTTAATTCTGCTGCTTGTTTGAACTCTCCAGACCTCTTAATTGTTTTCAATAACGGGCCAAGTTTTTTTATTTACTTACATAGTCATATGGTCCAGCCCAAAAGATAAGTGCATCCTGAGTCAAGTTTTTTAAAATAAGAAATGTGGGCTATGTCTGCAAATTAGGATTGGGCTATATAACGGAAAGAAAATAAGCATACGCAATTTTAACCTTGCTTCGTTGACCAAAAACAAAACCTGCTTCTTCCATTTTAAACGCATTCAACTTCGCTTAGAAGCATTGACCAAAAAACAATAAAAAATACTTTGTTTAAAAGCACAAAACATTAGAAGGAAACAAAATAGTAATACCCTCTTCCTTCTCTCCTTCAGGGTGATCCGAACAATTCTGAGTTTGAATGTTCTTCACATCACCGGTTTTCGCCATTCCAACACTTGGCAGCAGAAATAGTAATGCAACAATCTAAGAGGAACTGAAGAATCTAGAACACAAATTATCTCAGATTAACTGGAAGAACCAAATGAACTCTTCTTCCAAGCAACGTATCATCACTTGGTTGATACTAATCTTGATTGTATTATACATCCTCCACTCTTCAAAATTTCTCCTCTTAACCAATGACAAGCGAGATTGTTCCACCTCCAGGTATTTAGACACCACCACTGAAGAACAACTTGAGATGAGTGGTAATATATCTTCAACAACAGATAACGATGGAAAAACAGTTGCTCAAGAGGAAAAAATAAGAGATGATGAAAAAGAAAAGGAGGAGGAGGAGGAGGAAGAAGAAGAAGAAGAAGAATTATCCATTGATCAATTATCTCAAAGACAGGATACAGAGCTTAAACATGTTGTTTTTGGGATAGCTGCTTCATCAAATTTGTGGGAGATAAGAAAAGAATATATTAAAGTGTGGTGGAAGCCTAATCAAACCAGAGGGATAGTGTGGTTAGATAACGAAGTGAGGACTCAAGCAAATGAGGGGTTACCAGAGATTCGAATTTCTGGGGACACCAACAAATTCAAATATACGAATGTTCAGGGGCAAAGATCTGCTTTAAGGATTTCAAGGGTGGTAACAGAGACATTGAAGCTTGGGATGAAGGATGTGAGATGGTTCATGATGGGAGATGACGATACAGTGTTTATGGTGGATAATGTGGTTAGGATTCTATCCAAGTACGATCACACTCAGTTCTTTTATGTTGGTAGCTCATCCGAGAGCCACGTTCAAAACATACATTTTTCATATGCCATGGCATATGGTGGGGGAGGATTCGCTATAAGTTACCCGTTAGCAAGAGAACTCGCAAAAATGCAAGATCGTTGCATTCAGCGGTACCCTGCTTTATATGGCAGTGATGATAGAATGCAAGCTTGCATGGCTGAGCTAGGGGTACCATTAACCAAGGAACCTGGGTTTCACCAGGTAACTAACATGACTACTATGTAACATAATAATATCATTACTAGGAATACTTGATGATTTTGGTTCTCTATTTTTGGAAGGAATTAAGAATTGCTCAATTGCCTGTACATTTCTTCCTTGCTTATGCAGTATGATGTGTATGGAGACCTCTTGGGCCTTTTGGGGGCGCATCCTGTGACACCACTATTGTCATTGCACCATCTCGACGTGGTGCAACCGATATTCCCGATGATGACCCGTGTACAATCCCTACGGCATCTAATGAAATCTGTGAAGCAAGACTCAGGTAGCATAATGCAACAATCAATTTGCTATGACAAAAAGAGACATTGGTCCATCTCTGTTTCATGGGGCTACGTGGTTCAAGTTCTAAGGGGAGTGTTGTCCCCTAGAGAGTTAGAGATGCCAACGCGGACCTTTCTCAATTGGTATAGAAGGGCTGATTACACTGCATACTCATTCAACACGAGGCCCGTGACCAAAAACCCCTGTCAGAAAGCTTTCCTTTTCTATATGAACAGAACTCGATATGATCTAGCCAAGAAGCAAATTATCGGTACTTATTCTCGTTACAAATCTAGGCCTCCTTATTGCACGTGGAAAATGGAATCACCTGAGAAAATTGATTCCATCATAGTTTCAAAAAGATCAGATCCTCTTCGCTGGCAAAGGGTAAGGATGTTTCGTTTATTTCTTTTCATCGTATCTATATTATACTAAACTATGTTTCTATCTCAATTATGCAATTGTTAAAATTGCCAATCTACCAATAATTTCATCCGCATATGTTTGTTTACCTTCAGTTTCAACATGCATTGTTACTAACATGATCTTTCACGTTGTTCCACACTCTTCTCATTTTATATATATTACATGTAAAGTGATCAATACTGATATATGTGATTTCCTTTGCCTCTTCACAAATATAAATTTGTTTATTATGATTATTATTGCTATTATTACTGGTTCACATCTCTTAAGATTTAATGAAATTTCACCTCATATCTCTCCCTAAAATGTCGCTTTCATCTTATAACTATATACTATCTAGTTTATTTGTGTCGGAAACTTGTTAAAATTGAAGAAAAATTACAAGATTGAAATATATGCTTCTACTGACTGGATCATAAATTTGGCTTTGCAGTCACCGAGGAGGGATTGCTGTAGAGTTCGACAATCACGTAAGAGCTCAACTATGTATCTATGGGTGGGTAAATGTCGAGAGGGAGAAGTTAGTGAACTGAGTATGTAGAAACTTGGCTTCCAAATTCCAATCATTTTCTTTCTAATTTCTTGGTTGTAGTTGCATTAGAAACTCACACAACACAAATTGCACTACTTTCATTAATTATAATATCACTAGCTACAGCTATCATCTTCTACAACTCCCTTTTTCCCTCTATGTAAATTCATCTAAGCATATAAGAAGCAGTTCTCAGTCGACTTGCAGTCAAAATGTATGCAAGAAGTTTACAAATGGAATGCTATAGCAACACATTCTTATTATTGAATGAAATTCATGAGACCTACTTATACACATTTAATGAGTCGCACATAAATTTGTACAGTTGAAAAAGCATGTTAGTATATTGCTACGAGAAAAAATTGCCATACTATCAACAAAGCACAGATTCAGACTAACAAAATCGTTAATCCTTCAGCCTCTTCTCCTTTATTCATGCCGAAAAGAAAAAAAGGGTTATTCAATTAGGAGAACTTGCAGGTTGCAAGTAAGATTCATCGTTCTCACCTGATAGATTTTTAGGAATTAAAGGAAGTGGTGATGATGCAGCAACTGCCAGTATATTGAGATCAATTCGAGTATTGTTAAGCAGTGGCATATGAATCTGCCTTATGGCTGTAATTCTACCATCCTTGATTTCCACATCCACTGTTTTCAAAAGATCGCAAGATTCTTTTCAGCAAATCGAAATGTAATTAATTCAATTCCAAAAACTTTTCTACACAAGGATTAGTGACAGTAAGATTTAATTTTACTTTCACTTAATATCGCTAATTCAAAATCTTGAACACAAGAATTACCGCAGTAATCAGCAAGCATGAAAAGTAAAAAGAAAAGAAAAACGTGAGATTAACGAAAAGCTAAAATTATATAACGGTACCTGGAAAAGAGAACCACCAGAGAGTGAAGAAGCAGAGCAGCACAAGTGCAGGAATGGCGTGAATGCATCTCTCCGTCGCCGGCGATCGTGACCGGGAAATGTCCCTCCTTCCCGTGACGCTCCGGAGGTGGTAAATCGGAAGTGCGCCGTCGAGCGAATATTCATCGAGGTTCCTTCTCCGCTTTGTGTGTTGCTGATCTGCACCAATGTTAATGGTTCTGTGCTCATCTCCTGAACAGCGCGAGTTTGAGCCTGAAGATCTCTGTTGCATTTCGATGCAGAGAAAAGAAGAAGAAGAAGAAACTCTGAAAAACTCTGCGCGCTCTGTGTCCTGGTTTGGTTCGTTATGCTGTTAACAAATTTTGGGCGGGAAAGTGTTTGCTCGTGCCACGCACGTGCTTTGTGCTTAGAGTCAGGGTCTGTGTGTTATGAAAATAACTCGATAAGTTTCTTCTAAATTATTATTCAAATGAATTTTATAATCAAGTTTATAAGTTTTTACATAACAAAAACATTAAATAAATAAATAATTTATTTATCCAAACAGAATTTCTCATCATGCATGATTTCATTGAATTTTTTTTTAATTTGTTCCGAATAATTTGACTATCATGTTGAGAAAATTATGCGTTGTCCGATAATATTTGAAAGTAATTTTTGGATGATTAGTTTTTTAAAAAATTTATTTATCAAAATTGCATATTTTATGGGTTTATGGAAATATAATTCTACCAATTTTCATAGACATTGATCTGGGGAATTAATTAATTAACTCTCCTTGCAAGTTGTCCAGTGTCCAAGCATACAAATCAATTTTATTGGTTGGCAGGCACAATCATCTAGCGTAGTTTTTTAAAGGAACTCCATCTTTCTTTGCCTTCAGTTCCAAAATCTAAGCTTTTCAACCATAGCAAGCTATCAACATTAGGAACAGATTCGGATTACTCATACAAATCATTCTGTAGAAACAGTTAGCATGCATTTCTAGATTATGGGTAATGAAGATTAAGACAAAATAAGTAATTTATTATGTAACTGAAGCTAAATTCTATCCAATAGGCAAAACATTAAACAATAAAAGAAGAATCCTACTGAGAAATGGCATCTTAAATACAAGAAAAAAAGCTGGCATGTACATGGAGGGAGTTTTACTAGAAGGATGAATTTTTCCTCATGTGAGACTTAAGATTTGACAAAGCACCCGTTATCTCCTATGAAACAAAATTTGATAACAAGGCACATAACATATGAACAGACAAAAACATTCTGCTTTCCTAGTTTGAATATTTGTCTCTCTCGTGCTCATTACTACTAAAAAGGTGTCTTTGATTATCATCCCTTTTCATTGTTCTTGGAGAAGTTGGACTTCTTCCGGAGCTTTGTACTGAATGAATTTGGGGATCATACTTCTGAGAAGAAAGGTAATGTAGTGCTGTAACCACATCAACTATAACGGGCCGCATATTGGGCTGCTCTTGAACACACATAGCAGCAATGGCTAGAGCTTGGTATAAACCTCTCACGGGATATTTACCTTCCAGTAATGGGTCAACCATTTGTGAGAATTTTCTCCTGTCTCTGAACAAAGGTCTTGCCTGCAAACAATTCACATGTACCATGAGGTCATCATTTTGGAAGTCAGAGAATCAATTTTGGCCAATTTATTAAGCAATGAATTCATAGCATTTATTCTTAATATAATCAAAAAAGAAATGAGGCCAGTTTGCCATAAAGGAAAAATAGAGCTTCCTGAATAATGCATAATACATTATCAAACAGTAAAAGACAATAACTATACTGAATAAGCATTAGGGAAGAACTCAAAATGAAAAGGTGGAGTAACAATGAGTGACAACCATCAAATTTTGACCAAATTTGAGTTTTCCAGTTACATAAAGTCCCTATTTAGTAATAAAATATGCTACTTATTTTGTTTATGAAAATAGAAGTACCCCACTTAAAGTAGGAAATAAGGCCATGAAAATTAGCATGTGTATTATTCCCATGACCAACAACAAATGAAAGGCATACCACCAAGCATTGTGCTTAATGTGGTAGAAGATCACTCACTCCAACATGAGGGCTCAGGTATGATTCCTCACCAAGAACCTTGGATGGGCTAACCTAATCAAAGGCTGCTTTTCACAATATACTATTGCTTCAGCTACTCCTCTGCTGGGCCCATGTAGAATGCTTTTCCCAAGGAATTTGCAATACAGGTATAGTCATGTTGGGAGCGCAATCTTCCTTGATGGGTTTCGAGGGTACAATCCCTGCTCACCCGATATGAAGAAAAGGGGAAGGCATGCAATTATATCCATGGTAGTAACTAGTAATAACTTTTTTGTAACTGTTTACTCTACAGATTCAATAAGCATTTTAAATGTACCATCTTACACACAATTAAAACTTCGGATTTTCATATGCATAAGGTCTTGAAAAAAATAATTCAGTACAATGAAACTGTTGACTGATGTTGAATGTGAGTTTTCTTTAAGTTATTGAGGGAAAAACGTTATATGCAGACAAATGAGACAGCTAGATTCAAAAAAATGTCTAGATACTGAAATTTAGGTAGCGTTTGGTTGAAGGACAAAAATATGGAAGTAAATATCTTCTATTTGGTTAGTATCTCACTAACGAGATAGAGACACAGACGTACGTTAGAGACACAAAATCGAAGTCCTTCGTAGAAGAAGGGACATTGGTGTCACTACTCTAGAGACATAAAGCTAAATTTTTCTGTGACAAAATGCCTTCAGTAATAATTGAAAATGACAAATGCTACCGTTAACCTTGTCTTTTCTACTCCTTCTCCCTCACACAAAACAATTTTAGACATTTCAACCAATTTTGTTTCTTGTCTCATAAAATCAAACATAATACAAGACACAATACACAATATTTTGTGTCCCTGTCTGCAGTGTTTAGAGACACATTCCAAACGCTACCTTACAACACCCCGCAGGAAGTCAAAATAAAAAAGGTTGGTCTTTCTGCAATGATTGAGAAGTGTCAACATGCTTCCCATAAATCCCAAATTCGATACTTTAAATAGCTGCCAACCTGAATGCAATGTCACAGCTCTTCCAAAGATAATAAGTTAACGTGCGACAAACACGGCAAGTAATAAAAACTAATTCAATCCGTAACTGAAAATCACACATCACTTATTTATAACTACTAACACTAGTCACCCAAATTCTCCACTACAACAATTTGACTAAAAACATCTACAAAAGTAAATCATTAAACACAGATTCCACAGTAAGGAATAAAGACAGGCAAAGAGTATTGACGTACCCATGCAACCAGATTTTGTTCCTTGGCAGGTTTTGTGTGGTCAATAGCTTTCCTGCCTGTAATGAGTTCCAAAAGAACAACCCCAAAGCTGTAAATATCTGACTTGAATGTCAATTGACCCGTCATTGCATAATCTGGGGCACAGTACCCATATGTGCCCATAACCCTTGTTGAAACATGGGTCTTATCACCACTTGGGCCTACTTTTGCCAAGCCAAAATCAGACAACTTAGGATGATATCCCTCTCCCAACAAAATGTTAGAGCATTTCAAATCACGATAAATTACTGGAGGTTTCATTTTATCGTGTAGATATTCCAAACCCTTAGCTGCGCCAGCAGCTATTTTCATTCTTGCGTTCCAATCAAGAGGTTTTCTACCGGGCGAAAGATCTAGGAAAATGGGGAGAGGAAATGAGATGAGCCAGTGATAAAGAATGCAGCTGACAGTATATAAAGAAAATTTAAGATGTTAGAATTAGAATGATAGTATGTACCAAACAAATGGTTCTCCAAAGATCCCATTGGCATGTACTCATAAACTAATAGCCTCTGCTCTCCCTCAGCACAAAATCCAATCAATTTGACAAGATTAGGATCGTCAGCCAAACTCAATGTCAACACTTCAACAACAAATTCCCGAATTCCTTGAAGTCCATTTGGGTCGAGTTGCTTTATAGCCACAACCTACACAACCACAATCAAATCTTAGTCTCACCACAAATCACACAAACAACAGACATGCAAAATAAAGCGATGCCATTCAAATTCATTAACACATAAGTGTACAACACATTGACAAAAGCAGTATCTCGTTCAATGCACCAATAATTTCAAATTTTGCTTCTTTTTTAACAAACCTGGTTTATTCTCTCCAAGTGTCCCTTGTAAACCTTGCCAAAGCCTCCCTCACCCAAAAAGCAATCCAACCTAAAATTTCCTGTTGCAACTTCAAGTTCATGAAAACTAAACGTCTGCGCCCGGTTACCATTATCTTTACCACCCTCCGAAACCTCCTCTTTCAAATTTAAATTCTTTACATCCAGAGCAAGTTGATCGCTTTTCGACCCATCTTCCTTTTTCCCATTTGCTTTTAAATCAACTTTGACATTATCTGTAACACACATACAAAACACACATAAGCCAAGGAAAAGAGAAATCAAACAAAACAACACAAGAAAATCATTTTAATCCATGGAGACTACAGAAGCAAAACTCCTCCATAGACCACATAGTTTAAAAGCAAACAAGGTGCAAAATGACAGGCGCAACTTTGGATTGTGGATCTAATCATTCCAACTCTGCAGCCAACCATAACAAACATGAAATTGAATATAGATATTTTTAGTTTCAAACCCCCAAAAATAGACCCTCGATATTCAAAACCCATTCGACATTATTTCAACGAGAGAGAGAGAGAGAGAGAGAGAATCGTCCAATTTCGAATATTGCCAGAAGAGACATTACTAGCCGAATACCAATAATTAATTGCAATATTGGAAAACAAACTAAACCCAATAAATCAATTTTTTTTTTCTTTTTTCTCTGTTTGCATATACACGAATGATAATTCCTGCGAAACACACTCTCAAAAGGGAAAAGAAATATTCAAATGAAACCCAGAAAGACTCGAAACACGAGGACCCCACCCCCAAAAATCTGAACTTTGATCAGTTTATGACATGCCCATAACAGAATCTTTTATATTAAAACAAAATCACTAAGAAAACATAAGAATTAGCACGATCACACAAAAACCGCGTTTGTGGGTGATAGTAAAATGCATTCCATGAGAGCAGTCAAGTGAAAAAGAATCAAAACCATGGACAAAATTCACCTGAAGCAGTGAAATTGGTGTGGCCAAAGTCTTCGGTGACCGATTTCTTACAAGATTTTCGTGAGCAACAAAAGCAACCCATGTTTCTCTGTCTAAGCTCCACCAAGAAAACAGAGCCCAGAACAGAGACCCCTCAAACGTGAAGAAACACAGAAAATTAAATAAAATAAAAATGAAAAGAAAGAGTGACACAAACTGAAAGAGAGGAAGAGAGAGAAAGGGTTGTGATGTTTTTGGGCATTGTTGGTGCTTTAATATATTCTTGGTCAATATGAGGTGGAAATGAATTGTAAACAAATGTTCCATAGTCACCAACAAGCCACGATAAGGACAGAAGAAGAAAGGGTCTTTCTGTCATTTCCTATATAGGAAAATATAATCAACTACATCAGATCAACTGAACCCTAATTATCCACGCACAAGGACTGTTTCGGTATTTCGCTTTCGTTGAAAACCACCATCCGTTTCTTTTATACTACATACATTTTAAAAATATTTATTTTTAGAATATTGGTTTATGTGTAATTATGAAATTTAATATATATATATATATATATATATATGTAAACAGGTCCTGATATTAATTAAATAATTTTAAAAGTAAAAAAAAAATATTATTTATTAATCTGTCAATGAGTAGCTGGCAAGACCCGTTTTTTAAATGTTATAATTTGTGAGTAATTAATATTTCATATTTAGTTATGATATTTTAAATTTTAAGAATAAATTATTTAATATATATACACACATTTATATATATATATATATATATATATATATATATATTATATTACTCAATATTTCATCATGAATCTAAAATAAATACTACCTATATTAGGCAAAATTAGTTTCATGCACTACAGTACAACTTGATTTAGAGCTGCATTAGTCTTTTAACTAAAACACTACCAACAAACTTCAAATTTAATATATATTTTAATACTTTTTAATTATTATGTATAGTCTCTTACCAATCACATTTAGTAATTATAAATTTATAATTTTTAAATTATTTACTTAAAAAATTTTTACTGTCATAATTATTTTAAAAATTTAATTAATTTCAACTCTTAGAACTAAAGATAAACAGTTAATAATAGTAAAATTTTATTTAAAAAATTTTTTATTATAATTTTTATAACTTTAATATAATAATTATATATATTTTTATAAAAATTTTATATTTATAAATACTTAAACTCAACTTGAAAAGTTAAAGTTAATAAAATTATTTTTTAATCTATCTTAATTTGAACACTCCACTGTATATATTGATAAAAAAATAATTGATATTTATTTTAACTTTCTTTCCAAATATTTTAGATTTTTTTTTTTTTAAAATATTACTACATATAATAAATAAATTAAATTCACTTAATTTAAAATGAAAAATAATTTTTAAAGTAAAATAATAACCATTACCCAAAAATTAATAACAAATGTATAATTTATTATATACACCTAACGTTGTACTGTCTTATTTTACACATTTTTATAATGCACACATGTAGGATAAAAATAAGATAAACCGTTTGTCAAAAGTTTTAATGTAGATAAAATTAAAGTTTAGTGAATTTTATTTATTGAATAAATGATGTTGAGACTTTTTAAATTGATTATTAAGGTTAGAAACATTTTCAATTGTAACACATTACCTATTTAAGTAAATAATAATAAAAAAAAATTAAATTTTGTGCTATATAATATTTTGATATCATTTTCCATTTTAAAACTTTAAGTCTAAAATTTTATTAATATACTTAAATGTTTTTTTAATATTTTTAATACATATCTAAAGACACATAATAATAAATCAATAAATACTCACTGTATAACTTTTTTTTTTTTTCATTTTCTCATAGACATGCGTTAAAAAAATTTAAAAATAGTCTTGATCGTAAACTTTAAAGTAGAACTTCAGGTGAAATTATTTTTTTAAAAAGTAAAATCAGATATTAAAAAGAGACTGATAGAAAATAAATAAAAAATAATGAAATTCAATGCGACGCAAGCCAGTTTTTAACCTTATACACCTCCGACGACGTTATATGAATCAACTTCAAATAATCAGTACCCAATTGTTAATCAAACACAGAAACATGCTCATTACTGAAAAAACGATTTAATTAACTTAAATTTGAAAGATTTTAGAAAGTAATTAAAAAAAAGTGAGAGTAAATAAGGAATTAATATTGGGCGGCGTTGAAGAAAATGGTGCGAGCTGGTTGGCAACAAATCTTTTGTCTTTCCAAGAACTCGCCGGTGGCACATAAATCACATTGTTCAAACAAACGCTCCAAAAACATTGTTCGCTTCTCTCTATAAATATTAATTGAAAAAAAAAAAAAAAACAGAGAGGTCAACCTCTCGAACAACGCGATCTGGGCCCACTCAATGACGTAAGCGAGCGGGACCCACTTGCCTACGCGTATCGCACTAATATGGTTTCTAACTTTTCTTCCAACATGTTTCGACGGTGATCCACGCGCTCTGCTTCCGCCCGCAATTCGTGACCTCGACGCCCAGCCAACCAATCAGGGTGCGGTTTCATCTGGGGTTGGCCGCACTGGATCAATTCTTTTTTTTTTTGGCTCCAACGCAGGGAGCTAAGTATTTAGAAATAGTGGGTGAACTCTGTGGGACAGTAGAATATTTTAAGTCAAGTTTAAAAATTATAATTTTTATTTTATTTTATAAATTTATGATAAAAATTACGGCAAGTATATATTAAATTTTTTTTTAACATAGCTTTTTAATAATTATCTTTACCATTTGTATAGATATATCACAGGTCAATTTTATTATTTAAGTCATGTACTGCTGGCCTTTTGTTAAGTTACATGACTTTTATTGCATTTAGTATTTTAAATTTTTATTTTAAATATTATTTCTTATACCTGATTTAATTTAAAATTTAAATATGGTATGTTATAATAAACTAAAGATGTTTTTAAGATAAATTAAATTTTAAACTGTAATATTATTCAGTCTTAATTTAAATTATTTTTTTTTATACTTAAACACTTCATATCAATATATCAATAACTCATAAGTTTTTTAATTAATTTTTTTAATTTAATATTATTTAATATAATAAAAAATTTATTATTAATAATAAAATATTTAATATTCTATCTATAAATTCTATTTAAAATTTTAAAATACCTATAAAATATAAAAAAAAAATTGACAGTTTAACTTAAATTTACTGCATACAAATTTTTTGCTAATTTTAATGCGTATTTAATAGGTATCAACAAAAGGAGAATCTCTTAAGTGTTAAGAGTGACGAGTTTTCTCATTATATGCTCTATTTTTAATTTTATTGCACAAAACTATGAAAATCACTAAATAATCTCAATATATCATTGCCAAATTCAAGCTTTATATTTTTAAATAAAACAAAAACAATCTTTAAATTTGTACAATTTTTTTTTTTATTTTTGCAAATCATATATAAATTTAAAATACTCGTTTATGAAAACAATTGAACATGTGAGAGAATTCATTCCCTAACAGCTATGTATAAACATGAATCTACTCTCAAATCTCAACTTACCTGTACAGTTATTCTCAATTAAAATCTTCCTTTAACTTTTCATCGACAAATTTAATTATTGACTAATACTATTTATTAAAAAATTCATTTTTAAATATTAATAGTTAATAAATAAAAGTATTTTTTAAGAGACTAAAACAAGAGTTGTGCCCGCTTTAAGGTCAGCTTTGAAAGTAAACAAATATAGAAAAATATAGGATTGGTACGTAGTATTTGATTGTGAAAATTGTTTTATAATAATACGACTGAATGTTGTTCATATAAAGATTCTTGTTCTTTTACCAGCTAAGACATGATACATCTACGTATTAAGAAGCAAATCAGATGCAATAACTTAAACAAAGAACGAAAATGTGACACATTTGTCTTTGATATATACTGAGAGGTAGTGTTGTTTGTGATTATTTTAGTGACACATTTGTCTTTGATATTTGAAGTGTGCAAGTGTGTGTCAAATTACTTAACGTTAATCAGCACCTGGTCGGCGAACAACACATATCTAGAAAGTTTCACTGTTCTAACATTAACCATAAATGTGGGGAGGGGACATCAATGACCTTTGCCTAAGAAATATTTCAAACAATGGAAGACGATACAAGGAATAAACAATGGAAGGTTTATGTCCACACAACACAAAATACTTATACGAACAACAAAGTAAACCATATTACTTAAGTAATATAAAAAATTTCTTTTAAAAAATATCATTTGATACGAAGTTTAGAAGTAAAGTAGGGTTTTTTGAAAGGGACACTTTGGAAAAGATAATTAATTTGGTACGCATTCAACCCTTTTATCTAAGATTGCAATAATTTTTTTGGGTACATGATCGATGATAAAATACATACAACATGACAAGATTCATATACATGTCAAAAAATTTAATGTAAAGTCTTCAAGTTTGGATAAATGATGAGGAATATATGAGTAACAAAATGAAAAGGTAATGTCACCATCACTTTATATGAAGATCATTCACACATATAGAACTTCCAGAAAACACGAGAAAACCCGAATAAAACAATCTACTATTTTATTAAAAAATAGTTTTGTTAAATAATTTACGATCCATATACGAAAAGGAAAGAGATTATAAATCACTGTATATCAACATATTACGCATAAAATAGTTTAAACTGAATCGTTATATAATAATTTTAGAAATTCTCTTATATTATATCTCTATGACTATGAATCATGTACTTGTATTTGTTAGTTTATGTCAATGATTTTAAAAATTGAACTATTAATGCTCAAATAAAAATGGAATCAGTTAACGTATCCTGTTCAATTAATCATTTCAATGTTACTTTTAAAACATTAATTTCAAGGATGAGCGATATATGTTGATACTGATCATGTACTGAATTTTATTTACATATACTAAGATATATGTTAAAAATTAATAAAAGTTATTAATTATAAAATTAATAAAAAATGATAAAAAAAAATAAAATAATTGCAATAAGAGAGAGTTAGCTCACACATTATTTTTAAATAGTTTTAATTTTAAAAAAGATGCATGAAAACTATTTTTAAAAAATAACTTTACTAAATGTTTTACTTACAAAATAAAGTATTTTAATTTATAATATAGATATTGACAGGTTTAATTCGGTAATCAATCCTTAAAATATTATCACTGGTTTAATCTTGATACAAATTTTATTTATTTTTAGTTTGTAAAATAATATAAAAAGTAAAATCCCACTTTGCTGTTAAATATAAAAATTGAAATCAAAATCAAATAGTTTTTTTATAAACACTAAAACTAAAAATAAGGAAGGTAGAATGTCAAAGTACGCAAATTGAACAACATCAATGACTACGGTTGAATCTATTCAGGTTCATAAAAATGCTCATGTTGATGTCCAAACATTGATTGAAGCTATTTCAAGAATCCACACACCACTAACCTTCAAAGGGTCATTGTTGTTGTTTAAGGGTCGAAGTTTCTAAAACAATGCACTCTCATTTTGTTGTTGCAATCATGAAGGGACACTCTGATAATTTTAATAAAAAATTCTTATGCATTATTATTTTTAATAAATCTTAATAAAATCATATTCGATAATAGTTTTTTAATTCTTAGACATGTGTGCATTCAGAGTTGCCTTCTGGATTACGCTAATAGGCGATAAAATATTTTATTCACTAAACCATGATTGATGGATTGGTGCCTAATTGATAAGGGAAGTCAACGTATCATATGTACTTTTATATTTTATACGATATATTTTTAATATATATATATATACAAACAAAATTTATTATATATTTTCTAATAAAAAATTATATATATATATATATATATATTTTATTGTATACTCTGAACACACATTAAAAGAATTATATTTTATATATTAAAAGAAAAAGAAAGATAATTTGGGATATCAATAAGGCCCTTGAACCCTACCACTACCAGTGCAGAGTGCAGTTGCAGCTAAGGTACATGTTTCAGTGGCACCCACTTGAGATTCTTCCGTTCAAAACCCTTAATTCTTCTCCAAAGGTAGTAACTGTGAGGCTTTATGATCATCTCAAAGGGAAAATATTTACATCCATTTAATTAGATGTCAGAGCATAGGTAACCACATTAAACTCAACTCTCTACGCATTGAAAGTGGAAGCTGTCTTTATTATATAATCAATAACGTCCATCAGTTTAATCTTTAATTTTATAAAAATTTAACTAATTACTAATATTTTAAAAAAACTTATTTTAGTTATTTTTAAATTATTTTTTTGTCATTTATATATATATAAGTAAAATAAATACTATTTTATAAAATTAGAAATTAAAGTTATATTTTTATAAAATTAATGGCTAAAATGACCAATTCTTGGCATATAATAAAAGGTAAATGTTAACTAAGACGTGATTAAAGAATTAGAAAAATTTTAGTTTAAAAAAACTATTAATGCTTTTTTTTATGATTTTAAATAGAATTTAACATATTTTTAAATAAATTTATTTACTTTTTATTCCTTAATCAGCATTTTTTATCAAAACTTATAATAACAACCTATATTTCATAAAGTCTTGTTAAAAATTATAAGATTCGATGCTTTATTAATATTTACAATAATTTTTTAATAAAAAATCATTACGAATTATTTTTTATTACTATATATTATTAAACACATTAAAAATTTGAATAATGCTAACAATATACTCTTTGTAATAATTTTTCATTAATAGTTAAAAAATAATAAATAAAAATTATTAAAAGATACCTCAAGAATTTTTAAAAATATCTTAACAACAATTTTTAATATTTTTTTGACAAATAGATATTTTTAGCTTTTTTTGTCAAAAAATATAGGCTTGGAATAGTAGTTTCTGATAAAGTATGTTTAAGAAAAGAGTATAGGAGAAAAAGAGAGAAAAAGATATATTTTTTAATTTTAAAAATTATATATAATTTCTGATGATATATACATAATTAATATGTTAATTTGTATACTTTATTATAAATAAATATTAATTTTAAATATACTTATTTACAGTACAAAATTTTTGTCACTAAATAGCTGCCCTCCATACCAACAAAGCTGATATGGCTACGCAGTTAATACAGGTATTGGTCCGTCTTTTTTATATATATCTTCCCCACACAACTTTCTTTAAAGCAAAACTGATATGCTATGCATGAATGGTGTATTTTGGTTATCCATTTTAAATCCATTGCATAGCCACAAGGATGAAAACGTTTTGTTTATATTTTTTGTATTGTATCAAGTGTCCTATTATTATATTTTAACGAAATATCAAAACACACAGAACGGTGAATTTGATAGGTGCTACGTACGTAGTAGGATCACTGAGAGAACCGAGTAATTATGTTTAGGAGTTGAAGAATGTAGGGTAACTAATGAAAAAGTGCATGTGCTCCACAATGTTAGGGTCGAAGAAAGTAACTGCTTGTACTAGGCCATTTTGAAGAGTCCCTTTTATCCGGTTTATGTCCTTATGTAGGGTCGTATGATAGGAAGCAAACTAGCATGGATTTCCAACAGTTCACGACCCTTTTTTGTTGGATGGAGATACTTGGAACCTGGTCAAGCCTATAGTAACCAATAGGAATGTTGGTGCCCCTAAAATGTCCTATAAGCTGCTATGTCACAGACTCTATTTATTACTAACAATGGGTTGTAAAGACTCCAAGGAAGTTGAGCTAGAAACTAAGGATAGGTAGGTAGGCATCAATCAATATTAGGTCGCGTGATGAACCCAAATATAGCCTGGTCTGTCTTTGAGTAGGCAATTCCACTCTATCGTGGTCCCCCATTCTTCAACGAAATCAATCGGTGACTGCTACTACTTTATTTTTTAATTGTGGGAGAAAAATTAAGTGTAAAAGAAAAGAACCCCTATAGCTAGATGTTGCCTCCCCACCAGCAAGCAAAGTTCAGCTGGTGCCATTTTAGGTACACAGACAAGAAATTTATTTGAGATGGAGTATTCTATAAAGTTATTAGACTAAATATATATATATATATATATATATATATATATATATATAAAGCATAACATTTGATATATTAAAATTTAAATAAAATATCTTTCTAAAAATTTATTACAATAAATATATTTAAAAAATAATTTTACTAACACCAATGTATAAAACTTATTTTAAATATAAAAAGTATTTATTATATTTTTAATGTAATAAATATTTGCTTTTTTGATAGAGTTTCACTACTATTAAATACTTTAAATAAATCATAAGTATTGATATATTTTTAATACCTTTTTTATTGAATGTTTTATAATTTAAAAATCTTTATGAGGTATTATGTAGACGGCTGAAACAATTTTTGCTAAGAGAACAATCATAACAACGATTGATTTATGATTAACCCTACATTGGGAGATCCAGCTCGTTTGCGTCACAACACAATGAGTTCATAAGAGGGGGCTAACCCATTTTAAAAAAGAAATCGTTTTAAATATATGAAATAGCATTTTTTGGGAGGGAAGAAGGAAATAATTGGTAAGACTTTTTATCACAAGATATGAATTGTGAGGTGTATTTAAAAGACAGTTACTAGAAATTTTCAAAGATGAGAATGACATGACACGGACATGGTTTAGATACAATCCTTACGTGTAGAAAAACACGGACATGAGCATGGCTAACACATTTCATACTCGCACGACAGAGACATGGCCATGAACTGTCCGTGCTTCGTAGTAATGAACTATACGAATACGAGGCACGGAAACTCCATTCTCCCCTTTCTTTTCAACCACAATCAATTCGAAAAACCCATTTCAGTAGAGGATCGATTTCAGCAAGCGTGTGGAGAGAAACAGCAATGACTGCTTACAAGATGTACCCGATATGCACGCTAACATGATAAAATTTATTTCATCAGAGGTTAACCTATCCAACGGCAACCACTTCCATGGGTCCATTTGGAGTTTTTAAGTTCACAACCACAAACAGAATCTAGAACATTGTCCTGAAGATTCAAATTAAATGTCTTTCACACAATAAAGGTAAACTACCTACTCACAGATTCCTCTAAAACAAACCTCCAAGCTTCTCCCAAGGTGAACTTGTGAAGGGCTTAGTGTGACAGTAAGAAGCTAGAGGCAGCTACTGGAACGGAATCAGTCAAATAATGATCAGCATTTGGGCTGGTGTTATTGCGGAATGTCACTAGAATTATCCACGGATACCATGTCGTTTTGTTTATCTCTTTCTTCTTTGGCATCAGACCTGAGGAAAAAGTTGGTTAGAAGTCTGCCCAGCACCTTAGCACTTGTATCAACGAAACATAAAAATGAAAAATTAACACAAGCATGCATTAACATACACTATTCGTCTAACAAATTGTCCCCTAATACGTGGCCGCTGTTCTGCTAGTTTTTTCCTGCTGTGATATCGTACCTGAAAAATAAAAGAAAATTCCAAGACATTGAAACAAATCAAATTTATGTTGGCAATATATAATTTCCCGTGCTTATTAATGAAGAGGATCAAATAATTGACTCAAACATGAACATAAAAGTCATACAAGAAAATAACTTACTCAGAAAGTATCTTAATTTTAAATAAAGCAGAAAAAATTTGACCATGTAATTAAATGTAGATTACCCTCTTCTCAAAGCATCTTTCTTTTCTCTTTTGACGAAATTTGGTCAAAGCAGCTTCTCTCAATGCAAGTCGTCCTTCATCTGCCCCATTCCCAATGATTTTCCTTTCAATGCCGCCAACTCCAATGCTTCCAGCAGTCACATTGCCGTTTCCCACATTTATCGTTCTGATGGTCAAAGTGTTGCTGCCGTCCTGTCCATTGCTCCCATGATCGCTCTCCACTGCATTTCCATCCATACCATAGTTTGCAGCATTACTTTCTGCCGGCCCTCCAAATGCATTTGATGATACGCATTGTTGAGCAGCTTTGGTTGAGCTTTTCAGTATGAGATCATGCTCTGATCGGAGATCTACTGCAGCTTTATGGGCAATGTGATTATAATGGTGAAGCTGATAGTGAGTGTGTTCAACTTGGAAGCCTTGTTCAGAGCCTCCCACTTGTCCTTTAAAAATTTCTGTATATTCCTCCCGAACGGAAGTTTTCTTCTGAGATGAAGAGATACTATTGTTCTGCACAGTTTGGAGTTCAGAAGAATTAAACGAACCAATACCTCTTATGGACTCTGGCTTCTTGTCATAAGTTTCAGGTTTGGTGCCAAGATATGTATTAGTAGAGGCCATGTCATTGATGTTGCTCCCATTAGACTGTTGATTTGGAGTGCCATTGGAATAAGATGGAAAGTTGTGCATTGTATCTGTATTTGGTGCAGCCGAGCTGTTGTCTAAAGGGGAACAGCTTCCCACATTTCCAGTTTGCGCCTGTTAAAAAATACAGATAACATAAGGCTTGGCGAAAGATTAGCATCTCAAACACTATCTCCAGCTTTTGGTACCCTGCATTTGCTTGCCAATCACCGAGAAATAACTAGGACACACATGTTGTCATCATTTCTTCATATTATAACTTTTTTGATAATTCAGTTATCATTTATTTACATTATATATTACAACCTTTTTTATAATCGCATGTTCATTCACAGATGATGCACAATGGGGAATAGACATAACCAGAAAAGTGGATGAGATGCGGGGATTTGGGATGAAAAATGCAACACTAAAATCATAATTTTACTCGATATATTAAGTTCCAGCAGTCAAAGAACCATAGAACATCACCTGGTTAGCAGAAGATGCAGTATTATATCTGCAGAAGGAAGCAAAGAAAAAGTTTTAATTATTATTTACAAATGTAATGCAACAATATTTGCTTACAATAGAAGGCAGCTATGCTGGTAAATTTTCTCTTACTTTGAAAATGCTGAAAGATCTGAATGTCTTAAGACATTGCATTCATCACCAGTGACATTTTTAGCATCTCTTACTTCTCCCAGCCTTTTCAAAGTTAGTTCAAGGGACGGATGCTGTTTGAAGCAACAGTTTGCTTTTGTTTGTGAGCAACCATAAAACCCATTTGGAGTATTCAAGTCTCTGCTTTCACCTTGTGGACTGTTGCTATCAGTAACATCAACAACATTCGTAGCCTGATTTTCCTGTGTTCTGGTTTTATCATCATTGTATTCTGGTTGTCCTTTTTCACAGACATTACTCTGTCCTTTAATGAGCTGCATATCTTCTACACCAGGCATCTTATTTATCACTTTACCCATTGGGTTGCTAGACAGTTCCTCAGGTGGATGCTCTAGTTGCATATTCAAAGATATTCCCATAGCCAAGTCTTTACCCATTGCAACTTCATCTGGAAAGAAACTGAGTGGTTTATTTGGAGAAGTATCCAAGTCAAGATAGACAAGTCTAAAAAGTAAACACTATCAAGGTCAAGGCATACCAAGATGATCAATAAGTTCACGGCACTCTTTTTCTGTTGCATGCACCCATCTACTGCTAACTTTTTCAGGCTTTGTATGCATCACTTGGGCACATGTGCTATCAGGGGCATCAACCAATTGTTTATGAGGTGAAACTGGATGAGGACTGCCAACTTTAGCCAGACATTTAGTCCATGAACTCTACATAAAATAAGAGCTTTATTGTGATTTTTGGTATTCAGATAGATAAATAATTAAACAAGGGGCAATCACAATTTAGGAATTCCCAACAAAAATATTTACATTTCATTTATGTAGGAACAATCACACAGAAAGTGGAAATTAAGTTAATATATGGTTATTGTTTTCTAATATAAAAATTTTAGTAGAGAAAAAGCACCGCAATGAAGCCACAAAACATCAATCAGAACAGAAAACAAAATGCAAAAAAGAACATGAAAATAAATAAATAATGCAGCAAGGCTCCTCATTCTCTATTCATATCAGAAATGCTAACTCCCCAGCAACAGGTATGGGCAAAACAACAAAAGGAAGCCATAAACATCATCATATTCCACCACATATGTAAAGGCAATTAAATGACTTTAATGATGCATGTTGTTCCATTCCAACAAAGAGAACCAAAGATTTCCATAAACTGCACACAGCCATTAAATATGGCCCTCCTTGGTTTATCCATCACCTGTATAACCCATCAACAATTATTTCAATGTAGGACACATCAAATGCTCACAAGAATCCCAAAATGGTAGTTCTTTAGGAAAGTAGATAAGTTCCAAAGTTATACTGCAATATCTGTCCTTTTTTTAAAACTTGATCATTTATCAAACGCGACCAAGGAGAAAAGGTGGAGTGGGGCCTAAAAATCAACAATGCCTATTAAACATAACAAGTACCAATATCCAAACAAAGGACTTTTACTTCAATAAATTTTCATATGAATTAGTCAAGGAGGAACTCTAGATGATTATGTGAGTACCAAGCACCCTCCCAACAATGTTAATCAGTCCCCAGTATATTGCTCGTGAACTGAAAACAACTGCCAAGAATTTCTAAACTGTGCTTCTCCTAAATTAATATGCTAATTTCTGCAATATGTGATTCAAAATTTGTGTAGTATGAGTTACAAAACAACTAATAGCATGCATCATATATCCTCAGTTCCTCTAATAACTAGAATGTCAATGACTGGATTTGGGACAATGGAATGATTAAAAAGGAACAGATAACAAGATAGCTGAGAGACACTTGTTGCAATAGGTAATTGTTATGGCAAGTAATTGGCACAAGCAAACCTTTGCTGAGTCAACCCTGAGTTGGCTAACCTGATTAATTAAAGATATCCACTATTTCTCTGTTCTTTATTCATCACTCAAGTTAACTGCTATAAATGACAACTCAGACTCTTAAAATGCATTTCTTGTAGACAACTACCCCAGTCCTAATTTTTTATTCAGCCAACATTGATCATTGCTTTGTCCAAGTACCTATTCCTCTGCTTTAAAGATCCATATGAATTGTCTGGAAAATTATAGTCAATATGGAAGACTACAAGCTATTACTGAGCCATTAGAGTCATTAATCTATCTATTAAAAGTGATGATTTTGTGGTTTTTAGAATTGAACTCCAGCATGTGTTGAGTTAAAAAAGAATTTCATATATGGGAGTTTAAAAAGAGAGTAAACAAACAGTAACAACATATGAAATTAATTTTCAGAGAAAACAATTATATTGACACAGCATACTGCCATAATATAGCCTTCAGATGGGGATAAACCTATCTATGTTATGAAATTTGTGCAATACCTGAGTGCCACTTCCATTGTCACTTCCGTCTCGAACACTCAAGCCTCTGCTTCCGTAGTCATTCTCATCACTGCTATCACTATTGTTTTCATATGCATAATTACTTCTCGACTTTGCAGATTTTCTGGTGTGGGTTGCACTTTCACTCCCACTACCACTAGACTGGAAAGTGTGTAAATCCAAGTTGAAGAATGACATTGATTATTGAAGAATGAATTTAATGTTTAAGTTGATCAATGATAAGATACATAAGATAGAATATCATGCTACAGAAGCTAGATAAGCTATATTTATTCACTATTGCTTCATGAAGACATAGATCTCTATGTAAAAGAAACTGCAGTTTTGTTAGAAAGAAGGTAATGCAGTAATTATCTTTTGCAAATTCATTAGTTGATCCTTGTATAAGTTAAGCAATATTGAATATTGCAGAATGAACTGGATATTTGGATATTTAAGTTGATCAAATATGAGATCCACAAGATAAACTGTGATGTTGAAGGAACTATATGGGTAATTATAGTAAAGACTAGAGAGTACTATCTTAGGAAAGATTGCTTCTGTTTATCTCTGTACATGCTTATTCTGGATTTCCTTATATTAGGACAGATTTGCTTACTGTAATGTAGCAATATTCTACGCAAGTAATTATATACACATGCCTTTATAATGTTGTAATTGTCTCCACTAGCTATACCATAATTATCATTGATAATTACCATATTTTTTAATCTTATTTTAGGAAGGTAATTGTGTCATTTAGTGTATGTGATGTATTGCTTGTATAGTTTCAAATTATCAAAGCAGTAGTATTTAGAAATCATTCCTTTTCAGTAATGTAAATAATCAATTTGGTACAATTGTAAATCACAATAATTTTCAGAAATTATTCTTTCAAGTTGGTATTAGCTCCTGATCTGGAGTCTATTTTCCACTGACATCAGCCGTCATTGCTAATCAATGTCACATACCCAATCTTCATTATAGGTCATTGTTCTTGGTGTCCAGTTTCATTATGGGCACGGGCACTTTTTCCATTCAACACTTCTGGTACCCAATCTCTAGCAACCAAATCATTGGAGCCAGGTAACCAACCTTCATAGAGAATTCTAACCAAACAACTATCGTAGCCCTGTGCCATAACCATCCTATGCATGTGGCCACCACATTCATGTCTGTTGAAGATGAGTGTAAGCCATGCATGATCCACCACCTTCCCAGCCTTTCTCATGCTTACTGTTTCATCCTACTTGCCCAAGTCCCATGGCAGATATTGAACCTACCAAGCCCTCTACCATACAGTGCCTATGAATAAAATAAATTTTCTCCTTCGACCTTCATTTTCCCTCTATTAAAAGCATTTGTTAATATGGTATCACACGTTGGTTAACTTACCCAGACTTTGGGTGAGCTTAGGTCTCAGCAACCACCCTAGGAGGTTCAGAACCTTCCAATCAGCCTCTCCTAGAACTCCAGCAATCAGTGGCAGTTTGTGTGGGTGAAATGCATTGGTCTCCAGTTTTTGGCCTTCACTTGGGCCAGCTTGTGGGAATGATTCTCACCCCTTGGCTTAATTGGCTGACAATGCCTTACCATTTCATCCTATTCCTCCAATGTCTTGCCTCTCTAATGGTAGAAAGTAGAGCAATACGGGTGCCAGATGTGATTCCAATGGTGATGAAAATTATTGAGCACAAGCTTAATAGCTCTAACTACTGGGATTGGTAAGGGAAGAGCTAGCTGTTTTATTTGACGGGGCCAAATTCAATCCCCCTCCTCAAAATAAAATCTTTTTGCCTTGCCTTGGAGTCAGGAAAACAAAAGTTTCTAGCAATAATAATGGGAGCGCATAGACTTTTGGAGTCAGCAATGGGGTAAGAAAAAGGGAATGAAGCCGATGAATGGGGTAAAGAAGTAGTTCCATTCTTGTTCACTTGTACAACACAAGTGACAAGTCGCAAGGAATGGAACCAATTTGGTAAAAGAAAAGGAAGAAAGAAACAGCTCCTGTGTGATAATTGATAAAGTATATATGCAACCAACATAAACCTATTTGGTTTTGCCCGAAGACCCCCAACTGGCATTATCCATTGGGTACAAATGAAGGTGCACCAGTGAAAACTTCTGATACCCAAAGTCATTAAAATTTTCTTTGATCATGCATTATGTCTTTAAAACAATTATATATACATAGTGTAATACACACACGGCCACCCAATTTGACAAGAAGCCACTCCAAGGGATTGGAGCAAAGCGGTTTGATTTTACTTGAAGAGCATTGAGAAAGATGATCATCTCACAATGGCCCTCCTACAAATCATACAAAGCAAGCTTAGTAGAGGGATGATGCATAACTGGTTTTGCAGATCAAAATTCCATCAATAATGTGGTAGGCAATTGACCTAATCAATCACAGTGAGTTTGTTAAGGAACTGGAGTACTTGGAGTTCCTATATTCTAGTAAAGGGAATGTTTTCCATATCTATTAGCCATGCAAAGCCTTTTATCAAGCAGAAAAACAGGATAGGCCAATTAGATTATTTTACGGAATTCATAAGAATTTACAAAGAACTTAATCTGCTGTTATCTCTTAGCCCTGATGTGAAGGTTCAACAGGTTCAATAGGAGAAAATGGCCATCATGAACTTCTTGTCTGACCTCCCTCTAGAATCCAAAACCATCAAATCTCACATAACCTTTGAGGCTGAGATTACTTCTTTGCATGATACCTTTGCTAGAGTCCTTTGTAAAGAGAGCTTTGAAATGCATCAGCCCACCACTAATAACAACAGTTCTCTGGTATGTTACAAGGTGGGAACAGAAGATATCTATTAACTGGATTTATAGGAAGTGATGAATATTATTCTAAAGGGTACTATTTTAGGATAAGTTATTACCATTTTTTTCTGTACAGATTTGTTGATTTATTTCCACATATTAGACAGATTTGCTTTCGGTAATATAGCTCTATTCTAGACAATTAGCTATTAGTGTTAAGTCTATATATTGTCAATAACCTTTGCACAATTGTAATTAAAGAAACAATATACAGAAATTATTCTTTCAAGCATTACATTAATTCATAACTGCTGCTTCTTAAGGCATCAATGTCTAAGTAAAAGAAGCTTCAAGTTTACCAGAAAGGATGTCAGCTGATCCTTAAATCAGCTGGGAAACAACTTTGGCATTTGTTTCAGAACATGCCTTAGACAGAAATGTAAAGCAACTCACACTGTGACATCTTCTCCAAACATGCTGCCAGAGGTTTTTAAGTTCATTCCTCCGAATAGGTTTCACCAAAAAATCAACTGCACCTTTTGACAAGCACTTAAAGACTATACCCATAGAATCATGAGATGACATCACTGCATGCATTTCAACATGTGCAACAAACAAAACACCAAATGAGCAATCATTGAAAATACATACTTAAATTTGGTACGTATAATTTTGGCATGGCACTTACTAATCACAGGGATATTCTTCAGAGTTTTGTGGCTCATGATCTTGCACAAAAGACCTATTCCGGACAACACAGGCATAGCTACCTCTGTTAGGACAAGATCAATGTGATTTCCTGGATCTTCTAGGACTTTCCATGCTTGAAGACCACTGGAAACAGCGGTGACTGTGTATATCATAGGTGAAGAAAATAGATTTTGAGAATTACAGCATTCATTGTTTAAGCACATATTTGTTAGAGAAACAATTTTGTTTGCATCAAAATAAAATAGATATGAAGATGAAATTAAACCCACCTCAAGGCCCAAGTCTGGCCATTTATTAACAGTTTTGTATGCAAAAAGATTTCAATTAATATCTATAATGGAAACTAGGAAGCTTGATCCTCACATTTCAGCTTAAATTTGCCATTAACACAGGATTAGTCCCTCTAAGTATAATTTACCATGCTTTGACATAAAACACACAGGAATATCTCACAGATGATTGCAGAACAGAGTAAAATACATGAATCGAAAGGTTATATACCAGTACTTGGACCTCTCTAATCTCTAGTAGATACATAGCCAAGAATTATGCAACTGTAAAATAAAGCAAGACTGTGTAATAAATGCATAAAACATAGAACCTATTAAAAAGTTGAAACTTTCCCACTTTATATATAGCAGAAACTATACTACATGGAGTTTACAACTGTAGGCTAATTTTCAATACACAACTTCCTTGGTATCTCAATCATATTTTCATTAGTTAAATATAAGTTGATACAAATGCATTTAAGTGATAAGGCATGATTGACCACAAAGATATTAATACCTTCATAACTACAATTACGTAACAAAGCACGAACAACATGGCGTGTTGAATCATCATCTTCCACCAGCAATACTTTTATTGATCTCACAGGGAGAAATCTCTCCCAGCATATGACTGGCCCTTGAGGTGGTTGTTGCGAAATCTGCAAGCTCTCATGGATTTGAATCAGTCCCCTCAACCCATTGTTTCCATCTTCAGTTACCTTATTCAACCTTGTGTCATCTTCAGTTGATGATCCAGAGCCTATCCCTCCATTAACTACTCCACTCTCAAGACTCTTTTTGTCAAAAACCATACGATTTTTTTCTGCCAAACCTCTTTTCCCAACATTATTGTTCATTGGACCAGCCTATATCAACCACACTAAAAAAACATTGTGAGGAATCAACAGGGTTACAGAAACGCAATACCCTCGTCAAGGGAGTCATGGATTCTCCACATCTCAAGCACTTCAACTAACAATTTCTGCAAACACAACCCTATCCATCAGTCAAGTCAGCACTTTTTCCAACATCATAATTATGAAAGACAAAATACCCTATACCTGAAGGTACTCCACCCAAGAGGCCCCAAATAGATTTATATACACATGTCATGGGGACTACAATCAGTAATTGCTTATGGTAACTGTTAACAGACTACATATAAACAAAATCTAAACTTAATAATAAATACATACTTGTCTTTTGAAAGAAAAATATAGATCCATACCTCCAGACTCCAGCCCCCAGACAGAAATCAAAAGCTCAAAAACAAAAATTTCATAGCAAATTTAATGAAATGGAACGACAACCTGTTCCTGCATCAAAGAACCCTCAAAGCTTCTGTCTCAGCAAAGGTATAACTTTCCATTCCTACCGACATCCTGAGAAATGAATATAATAACTAATCTCACTTACCATCCTTACAGAAACTGCTGACCGAATCTGATTAGACATGCATACAGAGAGACTCTTCACAGATTATTTTACATGGAGATACCAGCACAGACTTCAGAAATTCGAACAGTCAGTGGCTTATATAACAAGACAACATCTAATCCAAACTCCAGAAACTATAATCCAAAATATAATCTTTGTTTTTCTTTGATTTTTCAACAATTTTTGTCCCCCTAACATAGTACCAGAATGACAGGTACAAAATGGAAGAGCCTTTTTTTCTTTATAATGTTCATGAGAAACTAAAATATGATACAACTATTAAAATTATACTGAAATACTTAGTAGATTATTTTCCATATAGAAAATGGGAATGAAACCATATTCAAACTTAAAACGGTTAATGTCTCATACAAATACATCAATGAAGCTTCAATTTACCTACACCAAACAGAACTAAAAAGAAATTAAAAGCAGCACAATCTAAATTCGCGTTTTCAATCGCGAATTTCGTTATCAGTTAATCCAATACAAGAGCAACATAGCAAGATACCAAAACAGAAAATTAAACAGGACAATGAAACAGACCTTCAGAGCTTCACTGACAAGAACCAAACCCCCATTTGCAAGCTCGATGCAGCAACTTGGAAAAACCAATCCAAAAAATATCAAAATTAAAAAATTAAAAAAACACAATAGTCAGAGCTCCAAATCTGGTTTTCGAAAATGGAGAGCAAAACAAAAAATCAAAATAAAAAAAATTACAATCAAAGAAAATCAACAACTTAGGAAACAAGGTTCTAACATTTCTTTTAAAGCTTTTCTTTTTTTTTTCTTATTCCGTATAAAACAATTTTCCGTGGAAAACACTTGACTGGTAGAGAAATAGCGAAGCCAAAAGGTTAAGAGAGAAACGGAAAGGAGAGAGAGAGAGCGCGCGTGAGAGAGAGAGAGAGAGAGAGTGGGAGAGAAGATATTATTCTGAGAAAGCTGACGTGTACAAAATGAAGGTGTGAATGGCTCGAAACTCCACGTGGGACGTTGGGCCCACGTGACGTGGCGCTTTCGTGAGGCATTGATGGTGTGAGCTGGACAAAATCAAAAGCTGAGAGGTTATATAGAGCGAGTCGAATCCAATACGATCTTCTAGATCTGGATCCCACCACGTGGCTCATTCACCTCTCGTATAAAGGTTCTCCTTTCAAGGCCCCAAGCCACGCCACGACGTCGTTTTAATCCATCCTTCATTGTAATAACTCCTTTACACTAAGTGCCGCTACTTTTTTCCGTTACATGATAATCATTTTTTTTATACAAGATTAGGCTTCAGTTATCTTTCATAAAATTTTAAATATTCATTGTATAATTAACATTAAAATTATTTTCCACTATGCTTATCCGGATATTATAAGATCCTACTTGATTTTCTACCTCTGGATTTTGCTTCTTCATGGTTGTGGCTTGGATTTTAAACTGTAGTGCTTCTTGTAGAGTAATAATTAAAGCGCGTCAAGTTAAGGAAATTTTTATGTGTTGTTATTAATAGTGATTAGGCTGTGTTTGTATGGCCTGAGAAAAATGACAGAGGGATGATGTTACCATACTTTATACATTAGAGGATGAGAATGAGAAGTACATCTTTATTTATTCATATGGTCCTCAGGAATTTATCCTAGGTTTGGAAGGAAGTTGTGTCGTTGAAATTCTTCTTTAAGGGAGTGTCTATTACTATTTTATGTGTCAATTGCTACTTTATCTATTATTGTTATTCTTATTTAATTGACATTGGTTTTTAGGTTGATATGAAATATATTTCCCAAGAGGATGTATGGCTAATTTTTTCTTACTTAAAAAGGTAAGGTTTTCTATTTGTTTTGGAAATTTAAGTGAACCAGATATGAGCGAAAATTATTTAGCTAATCTTTTGGGTCTCTCTCTCTCTAATTTTCTTCTGAATCATGTCATGTAGTGTTAGCAGTGTTTAACTCAGATTTTTTTTATATGTATGGAGGCTTTGGGTTGTTAATTTTGCACCATAGTTTTAACATAAAAATATTGATATATATAGCGGTTAACGATGGATGAAGCGAATTATAATAGAGATTAATATGTCATGGTTATGCGAAGTGAATCAAATGTAATCGTAATTTCTAGTAATGGCAGTGCCAGTGGCTGAGAAAGTGAGAATCTTGCACCTTCCACAATCAGACGTGGAATGGAACTAGTTAGAAATGGTTGAAATTAAGGAAGAAAAAAGCATCATGTTAAATAATCAATGATGCGCTGCGGAATGGGAACAACTTTGGTTTAACTAGTGAGTAGTCCAAGCCTGTTTTCTTGCAATACCAATGTTAGATACTTGAGAGTTTCTAAAACTACTCATAGGTCAGCATTTTATGCCTGTATAAGCTTTTATAGATGTCACCTCCCAATTAAAAAAAGTTAGCCAAAAAATGAAGCATAGATGCTTACAACTTGCATGTTCTCACCATAGTTATCATCGCGTACAAGTCGTGTTGATTGATGTGAAACTGCTATAGTAATTTCTAAATGCAATTCAAGTTCAGGAAATTACTTTTTAAGGCATAACTCAAGAGATATAGTCTCTTTCAGCGCTAGGATTTTCAAGATCCAATGATATATAAACAGCTTGATGGGGTAGAGTGAGTGTTGATTTACCCAACTTAACTTATCACTTGCATGTTTAGATGAATAAATAAATCACCCTTTTCTATGTAATGATTAAAACTGAAAAAAAAAAAAAGTGAATTTTAGAAATTATAAAACTTAGATGTAGCTCTTTAAAATGTTGTTAGTGTAATTTATCAATCAAAATTAGATGTTTATTTCCGTAAAGTGTGATAACGATAAATACAATTTTTTTATTAAAATTAAATTAAATCTTAATTAGAAAACAAAACTAATATCATTTATACATACGTAATTTTTGTCCTTTTAGAAATGTTTATCTTTTTTTGTCACTAATTTTGGAATCCATGAAATTTAACGATGAAGTGACGAAAATAGAAAAATGGGTGGAAAGAAAACAAGACTAAAGAAATAAATAATCGAGTTGGACCATTAGTCTTTGGAATTGGGATTCCTTTCTGTCTTAACTTCTTTGTGGTGTTACCTTTTGAATATCACGTGCCTCTCTGCTTTACTAGAATAGCATATTGGTGTTGTTTGCAAGATGTAACCAAACTCCAGAACCACATATTTGCAGCAACTTTCTTTGAGGGGATTCTGGTTGCACAGGTGGATGACCACATCACAGATAAAGTTAGTGAGGACAAATGATAGACAACCTTTAGATCTCTCACGAGGAGTGTGTCTCATGGAATTTTGAATTTTTATTGTGTCATAGCATAAACTATCCTCTTCAGTTTCATAGAATGGTGATTGGTGACCCTCTATGCAGGACGGAACTGGTTCCCTAAGATGATTTTCAACTCAACATTGGATAAGGCACTAGCCAAACGTGTGAGCCTAGCATGCAGCCTAAGCAAGTGATCAAAATTTAAACGTAGTGTGGTGGTTGACATAATATAATATTGGTGTGTGGAGGGTGTTGTGTTTTATCTGTTATTTATATTGGTATTGCACTGTTAGGTACCACAGATTTTGTAGAATCCCACACCAAGACATCTAATTAGCTTTCATGTTAAGATGCATGACAACCAGAGACCAGAAAATGTTATTAAAGTGTTGTGTCCGGTTTTGGGAAAAGTTGTTGTCACTTCACAATTGCATGCACTGGATTCTCTCTAGGTTGGTCACAATCCCTTAGAGGAAAAATGGGTTAAATTGCCGAATGAGTAAACCTTCTACCAGCTTCTAAGGGTTGTTAATATAAATGCTAAGGTTTTTGGTAAGAATGGAGGGGAAAAGATAATATGAGCTAGGGATAGAAAGAGACTAAGTCAGACTTTACTTTAAACAAACAAAACTTATAACATAATTATTAGGCTTGAGTTTGGCCTGTTATTTATTAAAGGCTTTATTTTCAGTTTAGTCTAGCTTATTTAAGTAGTTTGGCCTGAAGCCTGTTAACAAGGCCTGCTACAAAAAAAATATATATTTTAATATTAATAAAAATAAAAATATTTTATTATCAAATTAGTTTATATATTTTTTTACTTTTTAATCTGTATTATCAATAATTATAATAATTTTTATATAATTTTTAAAATATTATTTGAGCACTAAATATAAATGTTTTATATTAAATAAATTTTTATTTTTTTAAATTTTTTAAAAATTATTAAAGTATTAAATATTTTAGTTTTTTTTAGGATTATATTTTTTATTTGTTTAAAAAATCTTATATTTAATAAATAAAGTCATAGTAAACATATAAAATTGATTACAAAAAATAACATTCACACAATTTGTTGAATCAGCTAAAAGAAAATTATTATATTTTAAAAATTAAATAAATTTAAATTCAATATAATATATATAAAATGATAATAATAATAATAACTATTAAATTAAAAAAAATACAAAATATTTAATTTTATTTATTTCATTAATTTGTTATTTTAAATTAATAAATACACATAAAATTAACAACACTATAACATTAATATAATATAGAAATATATTACTGATACAATAAATTAAAATATATACTTATATATAAAATATAAATTGATAAATTATCTAATAATTTAATTTTTTTTATTTATGTAAATATTTACAAATTATTAAATTTCAAATGTATATTAATAACTATAATTAAAATTAGTATTAAAAATTTTAATTATTTTTTATGATAATTATATTTTATTTATATAAAGACATCTTATATTTAATAAATAAAATCACAGTAAACATATAAAATTAATAACAAAAAATAACACTCATAAAATTTATTGAATCAGCTAAAAAAATTATTATATTTAAAAAAGTAATTATTGTAAAAATTATAGATAAAAAATATTTATATTATAAAGTTCAATGATGCAGAAAAATAACATATGAACATAGTAATAATTAATAAAATTTATATTTAAATTAAAATAACTTATATTTCAAACTTTTTATCTTAATCAAAAAATATATAATAAAACTATATATATATATATATATATATATATATATATATATAATGACAATAATAATTATTAAATTTAAAATAATTAAAAAATATTTTATTTTATTTATTTTATTTATTTTTATTTTAAATTAACAAATATAAGTAAAATTAACTACAATATAATAGTAATATAATATAGAAAATATTACTGATACAATATATTAAAATATATATATATATATATATTATAAATTGATAAATTAATTAATAATTTAATTTTTTATTTATACTTTTTTTGTAAATATTTATTAATTATTAAATTTTAAATATATAATAATTATTATATTTTTTAAGAAAAAATCTATTTACATTTATGTCAAATTTGTGAAAAATAATTATTTAAAATTTGACATATTTATATTTAGGTGTGTTATTGTGTATTGTGTTTCTAGTATGTAAAAAATTTTTACAAGTACGTTACTCAAAAAATTTATACTAATAAAAATAAAATACATATTAAATTACAAAAAGTATATATTATTGTATATAATTTATTTAAAATTATATTATTTATTATATGGCCTATTATATATATATATATATATATATATATATATTATATGAAATTTTTTTGTTTTATTTTTCTATCATTTTTTATAAAATTTTAGTTTCGAATAAAATATAGTTCATATTTAAAGAATTTTTATTTATTATAAAGAAAAAGAATTAAACATAATATATTAATATAATAATTAAATAATAATAAAAAAAATTAAGAATATAAAAAATATATTAATATAATATTATTATTTTATTTTTTAATTTTATTTTATTTAATTTTGATTGCATCTTGTTCCTATTCAAATATTTAACTACTCTTTAACTTA